GATGTGAAATAGATCTTATAGAAGGCTAATTTCACCTTGTTTTCGCAACAAAATCAAATACCAGTGTGTATAGTCCTTCACTCAGAGACAATAATGACTCAGACAATTTAACAGCTTGATGAACAAAATGGACCAAATCAGTAATTGACTTCCATCATTTTGATAGCTCCGTCACTAAATACTCCAAGTTAACTGCTTACCTGGGTGAATTTAACCTCTGGGTTTTCAATTGGAGACGGGAGGGACATGTTTGTCGCTTCGAAGTTTGCAGCGATAGTGCTGGGTTGGCCGGCGGCGACCTTTGTGACAAATCGACTCCGTTATCAAGTACTTGTAAATCACGTGATATACAGTATGTACGCGAGATTACTCTACTCTAGATTACGTCACTGTTAAAATGAAGCACTGTTTAATCAGTAAGCGCATTCAGAACTAGTTGATCCGCAGACTGACTTAATATGGACGACCCACTCAAATCCTATACCGACTAATCCCCTTGTGTTCCCCCCGCCTCCCCCGGCTAACAATTAAACCTTGGAGCCGAGAGTTAATCTGTTTAAGGACGTGTAGGGAGGCAGGGAGACCATCAGGGATAAGGTGGCATGTTTTTAAGTGGGGTCGGCCATATTAAGTCTGCTCTGAATGCGCTCAGAATGGAGGGTGTTATGAAGGCAGCGATCACAGCAGCGACTCAAACCTAAAACCCTCCATTACGTGTCTTTTTTGCCCTTCATTGTTTGCTTTATCATATTAAACGTTTTGTTGTGTAAATGCAGTTGAACGCTTTGCAAATATATACTTATCTATTTTTGTAAAATTCGTGCAACTTACACCAGAGGTACTAAAGACTTGTGACGTTTTAATATGTCAGCAACTATTGACTGTCTTGTTTGAAATGGCAGCACAAAATGATAAGAGGACACAGGCTCGTCGGAAGGGGGTATGGTAAGCTCTCAGGAACCGTCCTTTTGGTCTAAAATGTTTTCTCTGAATCTAAATTGGATCTATGTTACCCATGTTGGGTCAACATAATTAGTGAAAAATGTTTACTTTTCACAAAAAAAAATCCATTGAAGTTGCTGTCCATATGGCATGGGTCGTGTCAGATATTTTAATCTAAGCACCAAATTATTCAGCTTATTGTTCATTTCGATGTAATAAACTATTTTGTGATTTTACTCCTGTCTACATTTACATTTACACCATACGACATTTAGGATGTTTATCTGTCATTTTGCTGTTGAGAGATGAATATTTGTGCGTAAATGAAAAAAAAAAAAAACTCAATCTTACCTTTACACTGTCAAAAACTTAAATCTGTTGTGAAGACCAACTGTGCATCTATTTTATAGCATAACTTTGCAACCAGAGATGTTATAAAAATGTTATAAATATGTAAAATGATAGATCTCGTTATCAGAGTTTATTATTATATATAAAGATACGCAAATAACATGCAGGTTGATAGAATTTCTTTGAGTGGGGTGGGGCAAGTTCGAACACTTGAACTAGATAATTTAAAACTGAATTTACCCTGAAAAAAATACATTGGACTTCTGATATGTATAAGGTATATATAAGGTATATATAAATAGACTTCCTTCTGAAAAATCTAGAAGCCTGAATGTAATAGTATTCCTGCTATATCAATATTTATAAAAAGGGGTCGAACTAGCTTCGCCTCCCCCTATGGCAACTTAAAAAGATGGTATTAACACACACATATGTCAAATTAAGATAGGCAAGTAACAGATAACACGCCTTTATTAGTTAACGCACAAAAACAAGCTATATTTAGAAGCATGCTTATTTTGCCATCTGTTCTCGACAATACATATAGATGTGTCGTCCGCATAATCACTTTATCTATAGTTTAAGATCACATGTCAAATTGCACTCGATCCTATTCAATGACCAGGCCTTAATACGTGTAAATAAGCGACACAAGTAAAATTAATATTTCGTTTTGTTGGTGAATTTTTAAAGCGTCGTTTAATTTTTCGTTTTTACAGTGTATGCAAAATGTTCTCACTTCTCCACACTGATTCACAAAACAGCACCACTGACAATTTAACAAAAGTTTTATCTGATAGATCACTGTAATTTTTTAAGAACAGCAGTTCTATGAAAAAAATTATTTCAAAGTGTCTAGTTGCAAAGCACCATTAAGAAAATGCCTGTATTGAAGCCAACTTCTACTTTGATTCTTTAGCTGTTCCTCTCAGGACAGTTGATAAGCACCTGGAAGACACATAAGTCATTATAAAAATCTAAAAGTTCCATGCAATCTGAGTTTTTTAATTCCTTGCGTTAAACCTAATAGAAACATACAGTTTACAGTTAGATATATACCGCCCAACTTATCATAAAAAGATTTTAAGGTTAAATTTGGAATAATCATTGTTTTCATTGTGCTTTCTATTGCAAACGGGTGTTTAACAAAAAGGTAACCTAATGTAGAACAAAAAAATCTTATATAGCAAAAATTTTAAAAATTTTGAATTAAAGAAATAGCTTACACCTTGAAATATTTACGGTAAGTTAAATTCTCAAGATTATGACCGGAGCCACTTTTAAGCTCATTTAAAACATCTTACCGATTTCACTTCCGTATATTGCTTCAAGCCATATGATCCCCTAAAATGTGAAATAAAAAATGAAATAGTTAATATAAAAAACATAGTCATCCAAATGATTTTAACCGTCTGGTTTTGTATCCAATCACCATTTAAAGACAACTAACATCAAATTAACCATGATCTTAATTTCATCGTAATGTAGAAAGATGGATTCGTGATGAATATCAAAGGGTGTAGTTCAAACTGAAATAACTCTTTGTGCTTAAGAGGGAAATTATGTCAGCTTTCTTTGAGATAGAGTTTTACTTACAGTTCCCTGCCAACGCCAGACATCTTGTATCCACCAAACGGGGCCCCAGGACTAAAGTCATTATATGTATTCACCCTAGAATAATAAACATTCCTTGAAAAATATGCAGAATGAATTTTTCTGATCATATTCATTTCAATTTTTTATGCGTTCATTACATATCCAATGGAACATAATTAAAAAATGAAACATACCAAACAGTCCCTGCCTTGACGCTGTTAGAGAATTTCAATACTTTGTCCAAGTCTCTCGAAAATACCGCGGCAGCCAGGCCGTATTTGGTGTCGTTTGCCCTCTCAATCACCTCCTCCATATCTTTGAACTTTATAATTTGTTGGACTGGACCGAAGATCTGAAACAACGTTCAATTGTTTTTCTTTCGGATTCTGTGCTATAAATAAGGAGCGTTAAAAAGCAGATAGAAATTAAATATCAAATATTCAATATTGAATATCAAATTACAAATAGCCCTGAACAAATACCAAAAATCCAAATATCATAAATATTCCCATTTACTAATAATCACCTCTTCTTTGGCAATCCTCATGTTATCGGTGACATCGGAAAAGACGGTTGATTCAATAAAATATCCCTTATCCCCCTTTCTCTTGCCCCCACACTGCAGCTTGGCGCCTTCCTTAACCCCACTGTCGATGAGTTCCAAAATTTTCTTAAACTGCTCTTCGTCTATCTGTCAGAAATAGAAACCGTATAGATTCAATAAATAAAAAAGCATCCAGTTCATTAATCATTCAGATCCTTATAAAGGTCTATGAGATGTAGACGGAGTTAGCGTCTAGTATGAGACTCAATTTTTTTAATCAAAAGTAGCTAGTATAGGCCTACTATAAGTTGAACAAGTTTGTTTGCCATATCTTAATGTAGCCTATTTATTTGTTTGTACAAGTGCCTTTTGTAACTTTTAAGAAATTGAAAGAGTTGGCTTTGCAATAAAATGCACACATAATTCGGATCTTGATAAACACCAGTGGCACTACCTGCGGACCAGACTCAGTGTTGAAATCCATTGGATTGCCGACCGTTCTTTTCATGGCGCGTTCTGTTGCTTTCTTAACAAACTCGTCGTAGATTTCTTCTTGCACGAATGTCCTTGACCCCGCACAGCACACCTGACCCATGTTAGTGAACAGACCAATGTGGTTCTTCTCCACAGCCAGATCCACTACAGAACAGAAGAGAACACAATCACATTACTTCTGACGTTAGCAAATGGTAATGTCTCTTAAAAGAACATGCTCATGTTTAGATCAACCAGAACCTTTATTAAATGCGAAATACTTTAATGGGATCATTCGTTTTTTAAAACACGTTTTCATTGTTATATGCTTACAGTCAGCATCGGCGAACACCACGCTGGGGCTCTTGCCTCCCAGTTCCAGAGTGACCCCCTTCAGGTTGGTCTTGGCAGCTGCCGCCATGATCAACTGGCCCACCTGACGAACAGAGGAACACATCAATATGAAAACACAGCCTTGTTAGTGGCATGATCGGTGCCGATTTAGTCTTGGATGCGACGATCAATTTATTTTTATATTTATTACAGGAACAGTATATTTATTGCTTAAATCTCTAGAACCAGTTTATAACAAGTGCCGTTTGTTACCTCTGTTGACCCGGTGAAAGCCACCTTGTCCACGTCCATGTGTTCGGATAGTGCCGCGCCGGCAGTTGGGCCGTACCCAGGAACCATGTTCACGACGCCAGGGGGGAAACCGGCCTGAAATCATACCCAACACTGTGAAATCATATTACAGGTAAATATTTAAGTATAATTGCTGAATATGGAATGAGTTATATTTAAAAACTAATTAACATTTTAATAAAAAATAGGTTAAGATAATGGTTTTCTTGACTTGATTACCTTCATCAAAATTTGGATGAGCTACATTGTGCACGTAGAAACCTTAACGCTAAGCACAAGTCCCTTTTGCTTTGACCCAGTATTTTAAAGGCCCTACTCCTTTACTAGGATTCCAACATAATCCTTGGCGTATGTAAGTATGCAAGGCCACCCACCTCCTTGATCAGAGAGCACACGTACAGGCCCGTCAGCGGAGTTTGTTCGGCCGGCTTTAAAATGCACACATTTCCACATGCCAGGGCAGGGGCGATCTTCCAGCAGACCATAGGAATGGGGAAATTCCACTACAAAACGCAAAACAACAAGAAACAAGGTAGAAAATTTTGACCAAAATATGTTATTTGCTTCAACATAAACGTATTTTGAGATGAGTCTTCGTAAATGCTCCGTAAAACATTTTGAGTGCCTGAAAATCAATTTCTTCTCGTGAAGATTAAGATAATCTGACAGAAACCAAAACTACCTGTAGCAGTTATTATCGTTATTTTTGCCATGATGGTAAACATCTACTCACAGGTATGATCTGGCCACATACACCAACCGGCTCATGGCGAGTATAGGCAAACAAATCTCCGTCTGCAGTAAAAAAGTGCGCATGACTTCAACACAAAATACAGTCAAAATGACAAAACACTACATATTTACGGCATTTACTGATAACCTCACTTCCCTATCAAAATGAAAGGCAGCAGCAGTATTTTAATCAAGGCCGAAACGTCTTGACATAAATCTGGCGACGATTTTGGAAAAAAAACTGAGACTTACCAACTGGAATCGTCTGTCCAACGTTCTTGTCTGCCCAACCTGCGTAGTAACGCAGTGTAGCCGCTCCAAAGTACATGTCGAACAGGGCATTCTTGAACGGCTTGCCGTTGTCCACCACCTCAAGACTCTGCAAGGGGTGAATAACCGGTAGAATTATTAAATATGTATTAAATATATTATCAAAAATTCATTAGTAAGATATAAGATTTCAGTCAGTTTGAATATCACCTTTGAGATTCCAAAGGTTTCTTTGGAATGGAGTACATGTACATGGAAACAAGTTTTCACGATACAGTGTAGATGTATCCTTTTTTTTACTTAATGATTTCATGAAATTAAAAACAACATCATTGATTGATATTATTTTTATGGACACTTACGGCCAGGTACACAAGGTCCCTTATTATAAGATCAGCCAGTTTGTTAAGGAGTACCCCTCTCTTGGACGCATCCAAACGTCTCCATGGTGACCCCAGTTTAAAGGCCTCTCGTGCTGCTTTTACCGCCTTATCAACATCAGCCTGAGGTAACAATGAGATACAAGCACTTTCAATTTCATTGTCATATCAGAGATGTGTAAAGAAATGTCGAGATTTGCTTGCTTTATCTTTTTTTTTGTTTTTCTTTTATTTTCTTTTCGGGGGATGGGGAGAATGGGGTGGTCCAATGTGCCCCCTCCAATCCCCAGTAAGGATTGGCCCTGACCCTAGGTTGTTTTGCCACAGCTCTTTCTACTTTGTACTAGTTGATCCTTTATCTACAGATATCATTAAGTCCAGTGTCGTAAGTTCAGTTCACGGCTTCAGGTCAGTCAGAAATTGATAAATTGATTGACTGATTGATTAATTGATTGATTGACAGAGAGAGGAGAGGGGGTTACCTTGTCTGCCTCTTGAACCTCACATATTTTCTCCCCTGTTGATGGATTGATGGTAGGGAAAGTTTTCCCACTGACAGAGTTCACCCATTCGTTATTGATGAAAATCTGAAAGACAATTTAAACTTACATGTAGTATCAGTTTCACGAAAGCATAACCCTTTTAATTAATATTAGATAAAAGATTATGATGACAGAGAGGGTGGAGTTACACACCTCAGATATATTTGTAATGGAGAAAGTATGCGTCAAGTGTGACATCATCCTTTATTAATTCCGTCCTAATCTTATAAAAACGCAAGTCATGCTGACACAGTGCATTACATTTGCATGAGTACTATAGTGCAGATCTTGATTTGTACTTAAATATTGATTTTGAGTAATTCCAATGTCAACTTTTTATTTAAAAATTTGTTGAAAAATAAGATGTCAAGGTGCAAAATATTCATTTTATGGTGTGTTATGTGTTGTTCAAAAATTAAACGTGTCTCAATTCTAAATTGAAATTATCTGCTCAAATGCAAGCCATGAAAACATTACAATGAGTGGATACCTTTATTTAATCAATACAACTGAATTTCTTAAGTGTTAAAACAGGCGTGCCCGCCACTTATCCCTGAATTTTAGACAATCCTTTTAATATTGATTTCTAGGCTTAATTTCTTATCCTTAAGTCTTGTCCTGCAAGGAAGATGTTTAGGTTTCTCAGAAAAAATAGCCTTTAATTTTAATCGCCTTTATTGGCAAGTTTTTTAACTTCATTACTTGAAGGAATCCTTTTTGAACTGAAATATTGTTCAGTTATCAGCAGGCAAACGTGCCTTGCAGCCAGTCAGTCAAAGTCCATGATGCAGCTGCTCATGTACACCGTATACCCTTCTCAAGAAGTTATTAGCTATGTTAGCCAGCAAGATCGTCCCTTGAACGCAAAATGCGTTTTTAAAAAATGAAATGTAGAAACCAAGATTTTATTTAGATTTTCAACCGGAAATTATATCAAGTAGTCAATGTCAGTGGCATGATACAGAGCATCAATAATGTGATGTTACATGTATGAGATAGGCCCTATAGTATAGTGAAAAGGGGCGTGTGCAGAGGGCGTATTTGGTGGTGTGTGACCCCCACATAAAGTTCAAGCTGGGACATGCAGTACCCTTCTGTTCGAACTTGAATCAACCCTCCTGGTAATTATAAGGCTGTGCAAAGCTTGTGCAAACGTAACTTTCCAGACTGATACAGAATTGCTATTTATTAAACACTGAACATGAGTCAGCACAATGAAAATGTCCTTAAAGATGAAATGGTGATAGTTGAACCTGGCCACCCCGCCACTCAGCCCGGATGGTGTTGTACAATGTATGAGCAATTTCAGAATTTGTGCTCCACATCAATGATCCTTGGATTTGCTTCATTCATACCTTTAATAGCAATATTTCATAACCATCAGAAATACGAAACACAGGTAGTTAATGAAATCTGCAAGTTAGACAAAATTTTACAGAACTTTGCTTGCATCACGAACCCGAATTACTGATACACCGTGCCAGTACGTAGTAATGATGTATACAGATAACTCTATCATTGATGTGGAGCACAAATTCTGAAATTGCTCATACATTGTACAACACCACCCGGGCTGAGTGGCGGGGTGGCCAGGTTCAACTATCATCATTTCATCTTTAAGGACATTTTCATTGTGCTGACTCATGTTAGAGGTACATGTAATAAACGTATGTAACCATGTGATATGAGAAGTGTGCGATTAGTTTAATGATCACATTCCTCCTGCCGTGAAGTCAAATCAAACCTGCATCATGCACCTACCGAAATGAAACATTTGTCATAGACTGCACAGGACTAAAAATAAAGATAAAACATTATATTTTAGATCTTCCTAATTACAACTGTCTTCAAGGTATTTTAACCACTCACCTGGGTGAATTTCACCTCAGGCTTCTCGATAGGCTGTGGCAACGACATTTTTCTTTTCCAGATAGCAGACCTGCGTCCTCACACTGGGGCACCAAAGTGGGTCTCGCCTGTTGCGCAAGACTTGATATCTGACCCGCTATGTTTACTTACTGCATGCTTATCAGCGTTGACAGACAAACTGTTCTATAATCAGAAATTGTATATAAATGTCAAGCACTTTCAGGATTCTACATGTAGGACTTTGCTTTTGATTAATATTGCAAAAAAAAAAAAAATAAAATAAATAAATAATAAAATAAAATAAAATAAATAAATAAATAAATAAATAAATAAATAAATAAATAAATGAATAAAATAAAGAAATGATACCCGAGAAAAAAGTAATAAAATATTGGTTTTGCTCTAATTGATACTCTAGTGTATTATTCCTTAAACACTGAAAAATATCGACGAAACATGGGCTGTCTTTGGAAAATAACGGATATAACTTTTTATTTTAATAAATATAAAAGAAAAAGTAATTTTTTTTTATTTTCTGACAAATCATACCAATATTCTGAGGTTTTACATTTTTCTTATTTCCACATGAAAATTTAATTTGTATTGAGAGTAACAGAATATATATATATATATATATATATATATATATATATATATATATATATATATATATATATATATTTTTTTTTTTTTTTTTTTTTTTTTTTTTTGGCGACATTGTGGCAATCGTAATGGCGTCACAGCAATGTGTTTTGTGTTCACCTCTAATGCAATTTGTAATGACTGTAACAAATTGTGCAATGGAAGACAAATACTGCTAACAGGTGCTACTCCTGAAAGGTCAACTATTTTAGCATCTTTAGATTTCATTAAAAGACTCAAAAAATTTATTTTATGAACAAAAAACAAAATAGAATTAATATTGTGGTTGTTGACGTTGAGTGAAGAAAGAGACTAACAAGCATGATTTTAAATATCCGTTTTTCATTTTTAATCTTCCAATTCATAAGTTTAATTTCCAGTTCAATTTCCCACAAACGAACAACAGCCCATCTCGGAAGTGTGTATTTTTATCTCCAATAATTACAAACCTATATAAAGAGGGTTCATGCTGAATCCCATCAACAGTGTAGCCTGATAAATGTGCACATAATCATGAGCAGCATTATAACCGTTCTACTCTTCAGCGTCTTGCTGATACTGACGAAGATCTTGGATGCAGAATTAACATGTGAACCAATGCCGATGGATAGCTATATGTGCATGCACCCCAAGTTAGGGTAAGTCAGTTAAGTCACATATACACCTTGAAGGCCAGTTTCTCTCTGTCTCAAACGCAACAGATGACGAGGATGAGAAACTGAGAAAAAGATTACTATATTTCACACATGTACGTTTTATGTGTTATCTTTTATGGGACGGTGGCTTCCTTTATTAAATCTATCTAACCCTTCATCTGACTCTTTTTACAAGCAATTCATAAACAGACAGACGGATCTTGTCATTGACTGTAGTACAATCAAAAGAAAAATTTGTTAAATTTCAGATATAATCTGACGTCTCTACCCAATTTGTTAAACCATGCGTCCGTGGCAGACGCGGCTTTGGAATTACACCAGTTTTGGCCGCTGGTAAAGGTAGAATGCTCCGCAGCATTGCGGCCCTACCTGTGCTCTCTGTACTTTCCTATGTGTTTACCAAACCAAGGGACACTGTCACCCTGCAGGCGTCTGTGTGAAGCAGCATATAAGGGTAGGAGTGATGGAAAATATGAAAATGAAAGCAACAGTAATGAACAAAAAGCCTATTTCAGTGAAAAAATGGATACTGAGGGTGTAATAAGAGACAAGAAAAATGAACAAGTGTTGAGTTTGCGACATTTATATAGTGTAAATTATTAAAGTTATGCTTAATAAATATTTTACATGTACCGGTACCTGTCTAAGGATCAATTGTCGCGATCTATTTGGAATATTTGTTATTCTGTTTAAGTATTGTATTAAGTTTCATTATAGGATTGTTGGTTTGTTTCACAGGCTGTGCTCCTCTGATGAGAAGGTTTGGCTTTCGCTGGCCAAGGGCACTGCGGTGCGGCCAGTGGACAGACGAGGGCAGTTGCTACGAGGGACCTGTGGATTTGTTATCTCATAAACCAGGCGATATCTGTCTACAGAGGTACAACTCGTTGCTTTAAACACGCCGGAAGGTTTCTTCTGCTGACTGGCGACCTATATATGGCTGTCAACGACCAGCAACACTATACAGTCAGCCTGCAGTTTTCTTTACCGGTTTCTTTTCGATCACAGAGACTATTATTACACTTAGAACGACAACAGCATCGTGCTTTAATTTGAATATTGGAGAGTTTAATACATGCTACTGACATGATGCCTAGCTAAACGAAAAAATATCGGTACATGAGTTAAATACTCGAATAAAACCAAGTTTAGATAATTAATTCTGTGTTCATAAAGTGTTGTGTTACGTTCGATACAGTTTTTGCATAAATTGAATGTCTAATTTGTTATTTTCACAACACTGGGACTTGTCTACGTTATCCGAGACTACTGGACGTATTATTTGAATGTTCAAAAATGTATATGAATTCAATAGATTTATTGTGCAGTTGTAGAAATACACACATTAATAGGAAAATGGGGACGTTATCTTTACGCGGATCATTTACCTACACGAGCGGATGTACCTCAATGATGCAGGTTGCTATCGGCTGCACCCTGGCGGATTAACCTAGCTTTTCACTGGCATTATCACGACAGCAGCGGTAGTACATCTACCATGTCAGCTGCATTACATATCAAAAAGGCAAAATTTTGGCTGGACTATTGACGCGGATCATTTTTTGCGTATGGGACATGTTCCCTCTGATCGGCTGAGAAGCGTGACGTCATACGAGAATAAAAGTTTGAGAATCAGCATGAAATAAGTTTAATTTAAACAAGGCAGCAAAGCTGTCAAATGTACAGACAAAAAGCAGAAAGTAACGATGGACAAAATATGTCATTTTTTCAGTATTGATGCAATATTACATGATGTGTAGCAGCAAAATCAACACCAAGTTTTAATGATGCAGAGCAGGTAACACGAATGTTACGAATATGTAAAGGGCATATATGGCTTTAGGCACATGAGGGTTCAAATGTAAGCATGGAAATGCCTAAATGAGAAAAAATGAAAATTTCGCATCAAGCTGGATTTCCATTCCAGCTGCTTATCAATCTTAAGAATGATTCTTATAGCTTTTAAAATGATGAGGAGCACCGTTTTCCCTTCATAGCGTTTGGGATGGCAGTGCACTAAATAGCTGTCTTGACAATTCTGATGCAATTTTATTAAATGATTAACAGCATAACCACCATCAATTTTTAATTATCTACTATACTTGTCATGGGCACGCAGAAAATGTAAGCACGACATGGCATAAAACCCTAGTCCAACATTGAAAATGCCAACATGTAAAGAAAGAAAATTAGAAAAAAAACCTTTCTACAAGAACAAGAAGGATAAGCTGCATTACAGTGCCATGAACCTTTGACAATCAAAAGTAACATGTTTACCTTAAACGGTAGTTATCGCAGTATTGTCCAACATAGGATTTTCTTCAATTATGATGCAATATTACATATTGCCTAACAACAAATCACCAACAATTTTAATAATATAATATATATTAGCAATTTGGATATTCAGAAAATATGACAAGCAAAGGCCTTCGGGCCCTTAAAGTACAAGGTCACTCCCTAAAAATGATATGAAAAAATGAACATTCCACAAAAAAATGCATAACTTCAAGACAAAATACTCCGATCAGGCTGGTTTTCAAATTAACTTGTATTTAAGTTTAGTCATCACTTCTGTAAGTTTGATGACAATAGGTCCGTCTTCTTTGAAATGTTTTTGCTGTATTGCATTCATGCAAATAAATACAAAAAACAGCATTACTTTTGAAAAAACTGGTCCGATCAAGCTGATTTTGGAACTTGGCCTGAAATGATGAACATTATCGGTTCTGTAAGTTTGAAGACAATGGTTTCCAATCGTGTTATTACTGAAAGTGCACGGCGACGACTGCTACGGCGACGACAGACGCAGGTGACAGTTATATGTACAGTAACATCTGTGTCTGTACATAAAAAGTAGGGATAGCGTTTATGTACACGGATCCTGCGATATTAGGAGAGAAAGCTAAAAAATAAAAGCTTTTGTTCCATCTTCCGTTCTGTCTAATTGCAGTCTATTGCACAATTCAAATTGACCATGTCTAATGTAGTCTTATATGTGTTACATTCTATAACGAAATCCCGCGAGCTCTGTACGTTTGACCTACTTCATTTTGGCACAAACTTTACCCTTCAGGAGTTCGAAAACAGACCCCATGGCCACCATGCTGCCTGTGAGCAACTTATTGCTCAGTGTTTTGTTGATTTTGTTGACGGTGTTTGAGGTGGAATCGACGTGTCAGCCAGTCACTATTCCCATGTGTTTGGACGCAAGACTAGGCAACCAACTAGGGTGGGTAGACAGGTTCTTTTTGAAGAAAAAAGATAAGCTTCGTATACTCATAAGTCAGTACGCGAAATTCCAAGCGATGGCACCAGTCTGCCACTGGCAGCAAATTGGTTTCAAATCGTGTAACGCGAACTTTTTAGGTATAACACGACGACCTTGCCAAATTTTCTCAACCATGCATCCCAGCTTGAGGCGGGTTTAGAAGTCCATATGTTCTACCCATTGGTTCGGGTAAAATGTTCCCCGGCTTTGCGTCCTTATCTTTGTGCTGTTTATGCGCCGATGTGTGGGACGAATCAAGAGGTCTCGCTCGTTCCGCCGTGCAGGCGTCTGTGTGAGGAGGCGTACAAGGGTAAAGGTTTTTAGATGGATGAATCTACTGCAATAATGAATGTATGATTCACTATTATACGATTGCTGTGCCAGAGGGTTGATATGTACATGTAGCTAAGTTCATGTGATTGGATAATTGGTACTATTAGTTCCTTGTTTTTGAGTTTGAAGCGATCTCTTAGATTTGTACAATATTCTTTAAAAAATAGTAAACCCCAGTTTCTCTTCCTATAGAATAACAATTTTAAATCATGCAGAAGGACTACTTTAAAATTGAGTCATATTCGTAGAGAGGGCACCTTTGTTAATTTAATTATTCAGTAACTGAGATTTACCAATTGCCTTTGTTTTACAGGTTGTTCAACTCTTATGAATAAATTTGGATTCATGTGGCCCTCGCAGCTCCGCTGTGAACAATGGAATGACGATGACGGGTGTTTCGACGGTCTTGTCTAATGCATGCGTATGATGTCCGGTTATTCAGTTGTGTATTACAGCCAAAAGGTTGTAAAAAAACAATGCAGCGTGAACAGATAAAATATCCAGGATTTGTTTACTACAGTTTAATGCAATTCAGTATAATACATCACAGCACGGCACAATACATTAAGATCTTTCCAGTTGCTTTGAAAAAAAGGAATTTAAGGGACCATTCCCACAGATATTTGGATCGATCTATCTAACGCAACCTCTTTAAGACTGGGTTCCCATCCCTATATCGATCCATCTGGATTGATATATCTCCCTGGGCAGTCTCACTAAATTGGTATCAACTTAACCGGCTTAAATGTCTGTCACGAATCAGCTAGGGGGTAAAGATAATTACCTTCTAACAGTTTTACTACGCCTACCGAATCAGCTGCAGTAGTAGGTAAAGCTTATTACCCCTAACAGCTTTACTAGGCGTGACAGACATTTAAGCCAGTTAAGTTGATAGCAATTTAGTGAGACTCCCCAGGGACATATATTGATCCAGATGGATCGATCTAGGGATGGGAACCCAGTCTAAAAGAGGTTGCGTAATACAGTGGTTGCGAACTAGTAACGTATTGAACGTATTTGTAACGATCGATTAGCGTGTTTAACGTATGCATAACGCTTGATAAGTGTTTGGAAAACGTATCCCAACGTTTTGTAATCTGCGGTATAAATATATTACCAGATATTACTATGATGTTACCCCAAAAGAACTATATTAAAGTGTTGCTCAAACCAAAAGTGAATTGCATTTCGAATAAACGTCAATGTCATAACTTAAACGTTACCTAACGGGCTTTCACAAAATGGCACTGTCACACTGTAGCGTATTACACTAACACTAAGTCAGCTACGTGCTATACGCTAGGGCAGCATCTCTAGCGCAATCTTCTAATACACAGAAGGTGTACTGCTTTAGTTGAGCATTGTTCAGTAGCGCTCTCTCACCCATTGCAAAGTTTCTTCACACAGTATAAATGACTGAACAAACGAGGCTTTGGCTAATTCCTAAGATAATTTAGGCTATTTGCTTAAGTGGGAACGCAGTTAATAGCTGAGTATAAATGGCCGGTAAGAGCGCTGTGCCACTGTACTGATAATATTTCAAACACACCGGTTTATCCTCTCTCGTGTACATAGTGCCAAACGGAAACTAACTATCAAATATCTGATCTTCTGTTCTCTGTAGAGTTAAGCAGGAAGTGCAGTTTTGCAGCCTTCACAGACACAACATGTGTCTAAAGCATATAAAACGGGTATGTTACTTCAAATGTAGAAATCAACAAATTGCCTTTAGTTCATTTGGCTTTTACATGTCAGGAATTCCTGTTTTGGCACATATATGAAATTCCAATGCATTCCACTTTAACTGACAGCATTCTAAAATGGTATTCAGATTGTTTATAATGTGCTGAAATACCAGTCACACTGATGATCTCCCGGAAAAAACTTATTTAAAGGCAATCATGCGTTTTATGCCACAGTCTATTTATTTATTTACTGTTTCACGACCTTACACGGGATAAAACTAAGCGCACATTGCGTGTTTACTTTGAAGACAGACGTAATAGGATAGTCAATAGTTTTTAATCTACCAAAAATTGTTCGACTAAGGACATCTCATCAAAACAGTTGTATTTCAGAAGCTTCTTTGAATTAATCATGATCAGACTTTGTATCAGACGCACTAATTGATGCTAGCTTATCATTAAATCATTATTTAATGGTGAGGCAAGTTGTTTATTACAGTAGCCTACGTAAGGGAGGCATTACTTTTATTTATAAGTTCACTCATCAAACAAAACCAAGAGAAATTAGGACAACCATATTCCATTGGCATATGAGACACATAAAATACTTTAACCTTTACCAAATAACACACCTGCACATATATTATACATGCTGACTTTTAGCATTGACGTTGTTAGACGCCTACATGCACAAGACTTATCAAACACCTGTGCTGATGTTGTGACTTTTTTTAGTGTTGCTCATTACAATGAGAAATGTAAAATTGAATCCAAAACAATGACTTTGATGAATGCATAGTATATAACCGTTCATTTTCTAGGAAGTCCATAAATTACAGAGGGATTTAGCAGCGCACGTTATTTCGACTTTCTGAAAATTACCATCAGGGGGCCTATTACCGAAAAAAGCATCGATTAAAAACACTAATGCTCAATCAGTCATCATTGATATGTGGGGATATATAGTAAATTATTTTTGTTGTTACTTAGCATCTTCAATTTATATGATTAACCGCAATATAGCAAATTGTACATGCCATTCCGAGGCATATATACTATGATTGAGCATTTCCTCTAATAAATCACACAGATTGAAGTCGTCCAACTGCAAAGGGAAAGAAACATCATGACGGCTTTCTTGTCTGTAAGAGAAAACATCAAATCTATTTTTGTATTTATTTGGACTCGCTACAGTACATGTCCCATTCCTGTCTTTTATATTAAATCGTCAATCAATGCCTGCATGTTGCCATCAACACTTATACCAGTATCTACGTTTATGCTACAGGAACAGGCTATTACGATTTTACGATGGGACACAACTTTACTAAACCTTGAAATTGGGAAAAACAACCAACCTAGAATACTGTATATTGAATTATTAACTAAATATGAAAAAAAGAGAGGTCCAGGCTTATTAAATAAGGTAAATTTTTTTCGTGTCCTTCACTGACAACTATTGCGGATTCCAGAAATTCGTAGGATTGCAATACATCTTTAGTTTCGGTAGATTACCTAATATAAGGGCTATAATCTAATAAATTTTGAAATGAATAATCCTGCAGTGATTTATGCCCAATCTCTTAAAATGTTCATGGTATTCATTTCACCACCTTGTGTTAATGATGACTACGAATGATAATCGATCACCGGTCCAGCTCAGGCTTATTTGAGTCAACTACCGTCGGAATATCAGTGGGCTCCCTCTTCTACTGAATACAAGATACAATTTAATGACGACACCGCCAGCAAACGCGGTAACAGCTGCAGGTTGATAAAGATAAGGAAATAACACGCTCAACCAGCAGTTATAGAGAACTGTTCTACGCCACAATGAACAACAACAACATATTAATGGAAACCGATGCAGGGACGAGCACTGAAACGCTGCGTTTCAACGTTGGCGGTAGGATGCACGAGGCCAGTTGGAGCATATTTAGAGGCAAGAAGGGATCGGTTCTGCCCAAAATGGAAGAACTCAAACGCTACTATCGACCAGAAAAAGATGATTACTATTTTGACCGCCATCCTGGTTTGTTTGTGTCGATTCTGAACTACTATCGCACAGGGGAACTCCATCTTCCTCTGGAATACTGTGCTCCCATTGTGAAAATAGAGCTAGATTTTTGGGGAATAAGCGACGACGAGATAGCAGACTGCTGTTGGGCAAACTACTCCGAGTACAGAGAGAAAAAAGACGCCCTACTTAAATTTGACTCTTTTTTGTCTAAAGAGGTAGTTGAAATTGACAGTCTTAGTTCTAAGTGGGAGAGGACGAGAAAGATCATCTGGAGAGGCCTAGAAAACCCTACCTCATCTGTGTATTCGAAGGTGTGTATATTTATACTGCTGATGCTACATATATGAACAAAAAATTTATTGCAATTTTGCAATTAATAATTCAACTTTTATTTGATTCCCTTACTTATTTGGTGGATGTAAAATCAAGAATATATTTTAAAAAGAAATGTATTTTTATAAATGTATACTGTTCGATTCCAGGTGTACACTTTCACGTCGCTTTTCTTTGTGATACTGTCCATTGTGACCTTTATTTTGCACCAAAACCCTGCCCTGGAGGTGTATCCCAATGACCCACTTTGGGCAGAGGAATTGCTCCTGTTCGGAGTTGACAACGAGACTTTCCATAAGCTCAGGGGGGACTACTGGCGCATGGTGAACGAGACTTCCATCGAAGAAGCCAATCATGCATTTGCTCTCCAGCACCCTAGCGTCAAGGTGATCAATTTCGTATGTGCAGCTTTTTTCACATTGGAACTGATCGTGCGATTCATATTCTGTCCTGAGAAATGCCGATTTTTCATGCATCCGCTTAACATTATAGACATTTTGGCCGTGTTACCTTTCTTTTTGGAATTTGGGTTTTATATTGTTAACCCCACTGCAACAATGTTTGAAAATTCGGTTTTTGAGTTTGTCCATATTCTACAAATTGCCCGTATTTTTCGTGTGTTTCGCCTCGCAAAATCGTACACAGGAATGAAAGTGATCCTCTACTCCCTGAAGCAGAGCGTCCCAGAGGTTGCCCTCACGGTGGTTATCCTGTTGATTACTATGCTAGTGTTTTCTTCGCTCATGTACTATGCTGACCACATCGATAACCCTGACAGCAAGTTTCCAGACATACCGTCAACGTTATGGTGGGCCATTATCACCCTGACCACAGTAGGATACGGAGATACCTACCCCTCCTCTCCACCCGGGTACATCGTGGGCTCGGTGACGGCGTTCTTTGGGGTGCTGCTATTGGCTTTGACTATCCCTATTATCGTCAGTAATTTCATGCTTTATTACTCTTATTCAAAGATCAGGCCAAGAAAAAAGTCAAAATTCAAGGAAACAAATGACTTGGTGTTTGAGAGAATTGATCCAAACGAACCAAAGATTTTGTCTGTAAGCTTAAACGGAGACGCACGGCCAGTCTCTGGCATAAATGCAGAAAATGAACAACGAATGTAAAATTGCACAATTTTGTTCTTTTACTGTGCGAAGCGACATCTTGCCATACAATATGGATAAAACAAAGTGATGTTGCACACGTAAATGCATTAATATTCTACTAGGTTCCAAAGGCTTCAAAATTACCAGAGCGAACTTCATATTTACTCTTTGACCCCCTGAGCGTCGTCGTTTGCTCTACATTTGCTCTCCTCTTTGGTGTTTCCGGTACAAAAGAAGCATTTAATCTGATGTGACCAATGGGAAACCGTAATTCCCAGTGTCCGTATGGTATCGCGCTGTCAGTAACAGTGGTGTGTTGGTATGGATGGTAAAAGGTTGATTAACAGACACTTATTAGAACATATGCACCTTTATGAGATCCGACAGAGAAGCCATTTTGACAAGAATCTGGTACAAAAAATGACCGTCAAGAGACTCCAAATGAACAAGAACTAAGTGCACTTCCAAAATCTATAACATACACTGTTCCGGTTAAGTTCTGAAGCTATATCGACAGGTGTTTTGTGCAAAAATTAACAAGATGGCTCTCGGGAGACTCTGTTGCTAAGAGTACTATAATGTACGTAGCATATAATGATGGATATCATTTCATGAGACAACCAGCAGTGCACATACACACTTCATGCAACGAACTGCTGTGCCCTGAGGTGCTCAATATTTAATTTGGTATATTTCTAAATAAATGAATTGTACCACAATATAGCGTATCAATACGCTTTTTTTATATTACGGGTTCACGGTTCGATATGTGTTATTCCAAAACATATAAACTCTCGCTTCGGTTTTTGTGCATTTGCAGTTTTTGTAGACCTGATATATAAAATTTATTAAATCCATGTAAACATAGTCGTAAAGGTGTCAATTAATTTCTTTATAATGTTATTTTATAAGACTGTGCGTGTAATGTTACATGGAATATTTCACTAATTCCAAAGGTTGGCTGTCTTATTTTGATAGCACATAGTAACGTTCTCATTCAATAAGTTACAAATATGCTCAAAAAAAGCATTGCATGTAGTCTCAATATGGGTGACTTGAGCACTGAATAAACAATGCTGAAACCGGTATCAAAACGATGTACAGTCAGCACAGCTATCATGGATGGCAAGTAGTTGGGTCGAATGAGAACCACCGTTAGCTATTGACCAGATAGACAATCTAGGTACATGTGTGCACAAAACACAAAATGATGATAATGGAATATTATGTTGCAGCCCGCTGCATCCATGGAGATAATAAGATATATGAAACCGGTCATTCACAACACACGTGTAGTAAAGCATTACATAATGTATGCCAGCCTCCTGGAAGTTTTGCATTGAAAACCAAGCCTTATGCATTTCACAATCCACAATTCAACTGACACAAAAAAGGTTTGGATCATTAAGTCAAATAGTATGTATTACTAACAGCATACAGTAGATAACAGTGCAATACACTAAACGTGGGAATTTTAGATAAAAAACCGAAAGATTAGTTTCAGCTAGGATTTGCAAATCATTAAGTTACTCTACACAGCCCCTTATATCAACCAATTTTTTATCTAAACAGTCAACACCGGAGCGTTGGGAATGATTAGGGAAGGCTTGCATGGAATGGGGAGGAGAGGTGCAATGTTCAACTTTTAAATTTCTGAACTAAAAAAAAAAACGTTTAAACCAGCTGGAAAAAGGACTGCAGCTTATTCTAACATAGACACTTATAAATGAGATGCAGTGTGAAAAAAATGGACAGGGAAAAATGCCCATAAACAAACGTATATTGGATGAAACAGCATTTACACAGACGTGTTAAGAGCAAAAACCGACACAGCAAAGTTCTTAAACTCCAAACTGCCTTTTATGATGCCATAGTTTTCAAACAATCCAAATTAACATTTACATAATTCAAGGGCACGTATTTTTAGCATGAGTAAGTTCAACATCATACTGGTTTTAGACGTCCTTTTATAAAAAAATAAATTAAGTGTTATTTGACCGAAAGCCTTCGCTATGAAAAAGGAAAGTCACCGTCACTCGAGTGTAACTCAGGTCAACTATATGTAAACTTAGTAGAAATGAGATGAATGTAGCTTTCAGTGACCTGTATCACACTGTGGAAAATGTGATCGTGGAAGCACTTTTCATAGGTAATTTTTTTCTAATATGAAAATAAGCTGGTAATGAAATAATTCGCATTTTTTTTTCACTTTAAAATCCGAACTGTTCATCTAAATATTCAGGCTTTTATATCAAATTAATATCTCAAAAAGTCACATTTGTCTTTCCGTGATTTTTGCACGGTAATGATCTTTTGAATTAACGTTTGAATGATTTCGGCATATAGCCGTTGAGTAGCATAACGTTTGGTAATATAGTCTTGTTGTGCATGTCTTCTGGTAGTCCTAGAGAGATTTGGGGAAAGTATATGATTACGCAAGATTCATACCGCAACTATATGTGAAGATTAAAAAAGATCAAAACTTGATTATTATCATATTTTCTTCTACAAATACGTGAGACAAACATTTTATTCTTCTTTTGGCCTTCGGGTTTACCAGTGCGAGAAATGATGTAGCTGAAATATTTCTTTGTTACTATAAATAATGTATTATGCGATTAGTTTCGCTTCTGTGGCATTTTCTCAATGAATAGATCTATGGTTGGACTTTTCTTTCACAAGAATATTACGGTCGCGCAAATAAAGGCTTGTCAATACCCCGTGTCCCTGAACCCTATCTGTATGTCATCCTAGTGTGAAAATATTTTTATGTCTCTTCCATCCCAAATCATCACAAACATTCACACCATTTACACAAACATTGACCGAATGGTTGGCCTGGTGGTCATGGTGAGATATTTCAGAGTGGGAGAACGGGGACATACCAGTCCTCCATAAACAGCCTCTGCTGTCCCCCTGCTAGACACTCCGCTATTTAGGGGTGAAGCCGGGGTCAAACTCCTGATGTGGCTGGAAAGGTTAAAGTTCTTTGCTAGCTTCCGGCGACCCAAACGGAAGTTGGACTGCATCCTCCTCAGGGAGTCGAGAACATCTACACCCAATCTAAATCATGCCAAAGTATTCCCAGTTATATTGTCACCTAATGTAAACCGCACGGAGACGCATGTTGAGTGCTTTTACTTTTTACTTTTTTGCCATCATCCATACATAGTGAACAACCAACCCCGGATATTGGTTTTTCGGAGATTTCGTAAATCAAGGCCGTTTAATAAGATAACCTCATTAATGAATAGTCTTTAAAATAACTTTGGCAATGTAACAATATAAAATATTATGACCTTAGAAATTATATATTTGATAGAAAATTAGAAATAAATAGATAGAAAATTATATTTAGACTAATTTTCCTGACACACCAAAATGTATTCATAATATGAAAATATCTTTTATTCTTTTCCCTTTTTTTTGGGGGGGGGGGGGAGGGGAAGGATTAATAGTACACTTGAATGGTGCTAATTTCTTTTTAGCCTTCGTGCAATTTAATGTAGTCCAATCCTGTTGTACATGTGATCATCACGCAGTCCGTGTAATAAGATTTTGGTAGTAGTTTGATGTAAGATCTGCCTGATGTAAACAGCAAATATATTTACAAACATACATATGAGCACAGTCAACTGCATCCTTGGTTAAATATCCGTGTCACCGGCGGTTCAAAATTCCTATCTGCGTGCAATGATAGCAAATTATGTTTTATATTAGTTTTCTTGTCTGCTGTGACCGAGAAGAAAATCAACCTGTTTGTTCCTTGAGTTTACACCCAATAGAGGGGAGGCATCCTAACAGGTGCGCGCTGTCCATTAGGGTGATTGTACTGTATAACTATTAGGTATGTACTTGTATAATAATCAAATCAAATATGAGTAATCAAATATGAAGGAAGACGACATTGCTTGTATTTGTACACCTAACGAGGATAGACACAGGCACGAAAAACACGCGTAAGTTATCCCGTGAGCGACTATGAATCAAGTTGACGTGCGTCCAAAAGACGGCGTGAGACAGACAACTATACAGCGACCATGATAAATATACATATAGTTTATACATAGGTGTAGTTGTTCACTTTCTTAATGACCCTTTTTCATACATGTGACGTTCACCATTAAGAGAGGACACGGCGAGGAGCGGCAGCTACGACTCTATGCACTGGACGATAACTGGACCAAAGTAAGTAAGTTTGAGATGGACAAGTGTGTGATTAAGATAAAGGTATTAATATAATTTCTTCTGGATATATTTTTATTATATCAACACTGTTGATTGTATGTACTGAGTGTGACGATCCAGCGACCAAACACAAACCGCCAAGGTCTTTTTATTCATCTTCTCATTTAATATCATGTGGTCACAACATGTTACTTTTATATCGTCTTAATAACTATATTTTTATCAGAAATCCAAAAGGAAAGGCGCTTTAGAACAGTGTATGAGATGGCCTTGCAAAGACCACATGAAAATACGAAGTGGAGATGCATGTGGCACGACCTCTGCTATGGCGCATGGAATTGTGTGAATTCTTTTAAAGGGAACCTATCCCTCGGTTTTCATCAATATAATTTTTTCTATGTGTAAAAGAATTTTAAAATAGAAAGAGGTGGAATTGTCGATCGCTTCTTAGTCATGTATTGAAAATCAGGTTAGCATCGCAAGGTGTAACTGTCTTGTACCATATTCCATTTCCATTCATTTATAATAATGATGATAATATGTCTTATATATTTATGAAACTTTTACAACTTTATCTGGTTCTTAACGTAAAAAACGAAAGAAGTGATTCCAACGCATGCGAAACCACTCATAGTGTGTTTGTGTGCGGGTGGATGGGTGTAGGGAGCAGGGGCGGTTCCAGGATTATTTGAAGGGGTGTCCGGAACGACAGGCCTCAGATGCGAGGCCGACCATCGCCTCCTTGGTGTGGGGTTCGGGGCCTGCCGAAGGGCCACAAATATTTTTGGTCTTTTGGTGAGCAAACAGTGCCCTTTGGCACGGTTAAGAACTATGATTTAGCTAGCCAAAATTCTTATTTCAAGAGAGGAATGTTGGTGTGATATATTGTTCAGTAACCGAAGGGAGGGGGGGGGGGCAGGGGTGTCCTTAATCCGCCACTGGGGAGTGCTTGGTGCGTTATCGTTACGTTATAATAACGTTATAAAACGTTCTGTGTTTGGTGAGAAAGAGAGAGAGGGGGGAGGAGGATAACTGCGTCTTGTTACTCCATTCCTTTCTCTGTTTCTGATAAGAAAAAAAGGCTGTTGTTATCTCGCCTATCCTTTAAAATGAAATCACAGAACTACAGTGCCCAATATCATAACACGCAGAGGTCTCGTGTGGGAAGGCTTTATATACAGAGAATTGTACAACAGCTTATAAAAAATTGTTAAAATGGAAATCTCATATCACAAAGTTTGGAAATTGTGCCCCGGTATAAGACAATTATATAAGTGGTACCTTAGGCATAGGAAGACAATGGTCATACATTGGACTCCCTAGCCCTATCTAATTTTAATCTGCACCCATAAGTACCAGGTTGGAAATGTATGTTTCACAACAGAGGTATTGATATAGCCGCCCGTCGTGGAAACAGTAATGATCACGTACGGACCATTAAAATCGTAATGCCAAAAGGAACATTTAATTCATGTAAATATACCTCGACTTCGTGTACGTGTATAATATGCGAGAATGAGCCCTATCGTAAAATTGCATTTAAACATTGTTTAGCGGAGCCAAAACGCGGTAAACCCCCTTCCCAAAAATATGCACTCATACATATACACATCGGTATTTTGTTTTTAGGGGTTTTATAAAATCTGATATAATTCAGAAAACACTGTTTGTTATTATATTTTGCAGTAACTATTTTTATAAGTGCATAATATTCTGTTGATACCTTAGCTTGGTAATATCCTGTTGACATCCAGGATGATCATGACTAACGAGTCATCGCAGGAAGTATCCCACCCTATCGCTGCTTGCTGCATAAGGACAAGAACAGGACGATTTGACGATACACCTAACACAAGCACAACCATATGTGCATTGCCATATACACATATTTCTTTCTGCTATGGAAGTTCTGTTAAGAATTTTCCGATTTCCTGTTAAAAAGTCTCCGATGGCCCTATGAAATTTCAATATTAAAAGTCGCCAAGTCGTTGCTCACCGTATTTGATACCATACATCACGTCAAGCTATAAATAACTTTGACGTGCTTTGACGGGCACTGCTAAAGTAATCTAACATGTTGTACTTAATACTTTCAGTACACGAGAAGGTCCACTCCGTCCCTGATATATGTCATCCAGTATCAGAGGCGACGCCTCTAAGATTTCGAGATGGACATGTTCCTTTTATTTCCACCACCTTAAAAGACAGGCATGAATGGAGACGTCATCCACGCCATGACGGACACAGAGCAGGTCACGGCGTCGGAAGCTGTACCTGAGACTTTGCTCCTCAACATCGGAGGGGACATCCATGAAGTTGGGTGGAAGACATTACAGGGTAAAAAGGGAAAAATTCTTCCGAACTTCGAAGAGCTGAAAAAGTTCTACAGGCCTGACAAAAATGATTTTTTCTTCGACCGCCATCCGGATTTATTTGCGTCAGTCCTTAGCTACTATCGAACAGGGGAACTGCATATCCCCGTGAATGCCTGTGCCCCGGCAGTGAAAGCTGAGTTACAGTTTTGGGGGATAGATGACAGCGAAATGGCAGAGTGCTGTTGGGGTAACTATTCCAGCTATCAGAAAACGGAAGATATGCTGGCAAAGTTTGATTCCTTTCTAGGCAAGACTCACGAGAAACCGAAGAAGACTGATTCCAATTGGGAGCAAGCAAGAAGTAGAATTTGGAATGACCTGGAAAACCCGGACGCATCTTGTTTCGCAAAGGTGACTTTACACATGTATAATTTGCTATTTGAAAATAACCTTCTTCATATAAAAACTTTATATTTTTTACAATAAGGAAAACAATGAGGACCTAGTGTCTAACTACCTAAATCATGTAGCGGTTGTCCTTTTCTAGTCACAAGTTCTTGTTATTATATTATTGTTTAATAATTAATAAGAATTAATTTGCCATGAAGCAATGCAAAGCACTTTTGCGTCGGTTTATGACAAATAAATTGTTCCTTTTAGTTCATCCATTTCTTAAAGAAAAAACTAAATGTACTATTGGGACTCCATTGTCTTCTTTCAGGCTTATGCTGCTGGGTCTCTGATGTTCGTTGTCCTGTCTATCATTGTCTTCGTACTGGCTTCCCATCCATATTTTCAAGTTACTCCGGCAGATAATTTATGGACGACAACCCTCTCCTTCTTCGTAGCCAACAATGAGACTCTGCAAATAATAACAGATTACTGGGACCGAGTTAACTCAACCTCACTTGGTCGAGCAAACAAAGACTACGCATTACTACACCCAGCGATGGTCTTGATTGACGTCATATGTGCAAGCTTTTTTACACTGGATATTTTCATCCGCTTCATATTTAGTCCAAGTAAGGCACGGTTTTTCACGTACCCTCTAAGCATCATTGACGTCCTAGCCATTGCGCCATTTTATGCAGAACTGGTGATCAACATTGTTAACCCAGAGGATATGTTTGGTGAAACCGTTTTTGGTTTCATCAATATTCTCAAAATTGCACGTGTCTTTCGTATTTTCCGCCTGGCCAAGTCCTACACCGGCATGAAGGTTATTTTGTATTCGCTAAAGGAGGGACTAGCGGAACTGACCTTGACTCTTATCATACTTGTGATCACAATGCTCATTTGTTCAACATTAATGTTTTATGCAGATAATGTAAACAATGAGGACAGTATGTTCACCAGTATCCCGCTCACCTTGTGGTGGTCCATCGTCACGCTGACCACTGTGGGCTATGGGGAGTTCGTGCCCACATCCGGGTTAGGGTACATCATTGGTGCAATTTCGGCATTTTTTGGAGTGGTCTGTCTGGCGATGACGGTGCCAATCGTTGTCAACAACTTCATGTTGTATTATTCCCACGCCAGGACAACCCCAAAGAAAAGAGATTCAAATGTCGACCCAAAAACAGTTAATGGCGCCTCAGAGGGGTACCAAAACAAGGCCTACGAGCATGACAACCAGACACAGCCCACGCTCACAACACAAATTTAACATTACATTGTATTCACATTAACGACAGAAAATGTGAAGACACTCGTACCAACCATTGGCGCAACGACAACTGCTTTCGAGTATAAATCCGTTACTGTAATCTTAAAAAAGGCCATTATACTATAGTTAACTTCTTCAAAGACATGAATTTCTTCGGTGGGAGTGAACAGAATTTTGTTACGATATCTGATTATTTGTTAAGTCATGTTTCCATTTCATGTAGATAAATTTTAAAACACATTACTGATGAAAGTAAAGAAGTCTAGAGGTAATGTAATGATAGGCCTAATTATTTGTGGTAGTTTGAATATTGAGGGCAAAAGTAATCTAAGTTGCATTTTAGTACTAGCATGTATCAAGGAATGATAGCCACAGCAAATTTATATGTATATAATGTAATCTTGCATAAAAGTGCTCAGGTAACATGATATGTCTATTTAGAAACAGGCATTTTTTTTATTATTATGTAATGCAGGACGCATAGAGTACTAGTAATAGCTCTTTGCTCTGCTTTTATAAGTCAGTGATGAACGTAAGGAATATTTGTGATTATTAAAGCATTAGCGCTATTCCCAGTAGCATCAGGAGGATGAATAATTTAGACACGAATAAGATATTTTAAGCTGGAATTAAAGGAAGTTTAGTACAAGTACCTACCACGACGAGCGCAGCGCTTGAAAGATGCAATATAGGCCTCTCACACAGAGACTCTTCTGGCTACAGAATTAAGTTATAGGTCTAAAACAATTGTCTAGCAGTTCTGTCTTATCATTTGGACGATATGTCATTGTAGTATTGCAAGTGGGGCCATTTGCAAATACACATCGTTTGGAATTAGTTCTATTGTACTACAGTATTTGAGTCAGTTACGTGCAACTGCCCAAATTTCAAGGGCATATAAAAAGTGCCGTGTCCAATATATGCCAACCACCCCTTTAGATTTTGGTAAAAACATAACACTATGGCCATTGGTTCCAGGCTACAGAATAACGTTATACCAGCCATAGGGCTCATTCCCAATGTAAGCATCGTTCTACATGTACGTAGATCGATTCAACTACGGAGGCTCTTACTGAATGCAATCAGATTAACAAATTGACACATCAACGTACTTGTATAATCACAGCTTTTCTGTGTTCTACCCAACGGCAGGAGGAGGCGTGCTAATCTTTTAATCTAGTTGCATTCAGAGAGAGTCCCCACGGAGTTGGATCGATCTACGAAGAACGACATTTTCATTGGGAATGAGCCCTTTATAGTGACTCTGGAAGTCACAAGCACAAACGGACAGGTCATCAATATTTCAAGGACGGTAAAGGTTAAGGGGGATAAAAGAATAGCTTAAACACGCTTACCGCATATATTGCACAATGGATGGTCCCCATTTAAAATCTATTCTTAGCATCTTCCAGTATTACGCAGGAAAGAATAATGTACATGAAAGTACTATCAGCTTTTCAGGTTTATCAGTGTTGCAAGGACGGAAAGCGGGCGTGGCAAATAAAATATCACCTGTTGCCAGCGCGAAAGTAGAATATACAAAAATCTGACTGTGATTATAAATACGTCATATTTCCAGTTGGGTTTGAATCATTTGTTTAAATTTAGAGCAATAAAATGAAATAAACACCATGTTAATTAGTTAACAGTTATAGCTTGTGTTGTAATTTCTTACTTGTTTACACAATTTGTTATTTCATCATTGAATTAAACGAACAATTAAAAACACTGTAACAATGTAAGACATAGTACAATTTGAAAATATGCTGAAAATGCTGTACGGACAGAACATTTCACATAAAAACGTACTGGTAAGATCAATGTTCATGCTTTTAGGGAATTCGAGGAATATCCTGACCATTGTGCATAGATTCAGCAGGGAGGCTAACGAAGGGTCGCCTTAACGTAATTAAAATTATCAAAAAGACATTTTCGGACAGGGGCCACCATTTTGTGACATTAAACCGACATAAAAGCAAATTTGTTTTGGACTTCAGGAGTGACATATCAGGTCTGAGATGTACTGGTATCATAAAACTTGAAATAAATTATAGGCAGCGAATCCCAAATATTTAATTATAAATGAAGAAAGTACACGTTCACACAGCTTGTGTGCGATCTCACGCCCTCCAATGACATCGTACGAAATATAATATATCGACCACTTGCGATGTTTCAAAGTGCTTTTAATGGGTTCCGTAGCAGTAATTTTTAACAAACTGTGGCAGTTATGGGACTAAGATTACAACATATGTAAAGATTAATTGGTGTATCCTCGCAATTTTGTCTCTCTGCAGCCGTTCGTTTGAAATTATCGTGGCAAAAAAAGCTGCTGCAGAACAAAGAGGAAATGTGATATTTTATAACCTATAGATCAGCACATGACCGTGTACTGGACGAGATAACGGCTGCAAAAACACTAATTGAAAGTTTATCACATGGAAAATTAATTCCATCTAGACGCACGGGCAGAGTTCTGAACTGTTCAAACGATGACCCCTTTTAGACAAACTCACTGGAACTAAATGTTTTGATTGCGAATCTTGATTAATTAAAATCTGAGAAGTACTAAAGAGTTTGTGTTATCCTTAAATTAACCCGCCAAACGTGCTGCAGTCTTCTAAGTAAATAATTAAATAGTGAAAATAATTATTACAATAAATTGCACCACTGGCACTCAAGTAGTATGTATTAAGGCAGAACAAACCGGTGAAGAAACAATCTAGAAGCTATACTGTAGATGTGATGATAGATAACGGGTCAGTTCCAAGAAAACGTGGTCGTTGCTAATATCCGTTGTGTGTACCAAGTTTGCATTTATTTCAATAAACCATTAGCACGATTTCTGTAACAAATGATCACTCGTCAAACCGCACATGGCATCGAATAATGAACCGACATCTGAACTATTTAACTGTCGTTATTTGAACCGAACAACAAGCATCACTGATATACCGCTTTACTACTTATATCAGCTGGAATGTTATAGTGACTATATTCTATCAAAAAAACCTTTGTTGCCGTAGCCATACAGATATGGGCGAAAGTATACAATGTTCGTTTAAGATTTCCTCAGGGCTCTGCCCGGCCAACACCACCGCTAATTACGATAAGATCATATTCCCATTCAGTTCACATCTAATTTCTGAACACGTCACGCAATCTGGATCGCGCTACAGGTTTCAGTTAACACCTCTCCTNAAAAGGAGCATTTGAGAGACAGAGAAATTCATAAGCTACATTATTCCATTTTGACCTAGTAATAAGAACATACACATATAATGTATTTAATAAACACTTATATATATATATATATATATATATATATATATATATATATATATATATATATATATATAATTAGTTTTTTAAAAACCAAGCTATGCAGACGGAAGTTTTGTGTAAGAAACAAACAAATAACAACCCACATAATCTACGTTAACTACGATAATTGTCATCAAACTCTCTCTGTGCCAGCCTAGCCATAGTGCAAAACGAGCTACGACCGACTTACTCCTCCTACCTGGCAGGCGTAAATTTACGACTTAGTTAAGTCCGACGTAAACACTATTCCAGTTTGGTGCAACTGGCGTTACTCGGGCGTAGCGATTTGCGCCCGGTTTACGCCGGCGCAACTGCTACGCCTCACTTACGACCGGTTGGTGCAACCGGGCCCTGTACTCTGTGAACGCACCAGGTAAGCCATGTTATTCAACCTTCATTGTTTGTTTCTGTGTGGTTTAACGAACACATATTTCACATCTAGAAGTACGATATATATCTTTGTATACAATTTAGATAGGTTGGGGCTTAGGGAACACCGCAAAATACGAACCTACATGTATCTTTGATTTAGATTGGTAGATTCTGGCCAACAAGGGAGGATTAGATGTTTAAATAGTTGGTTTGAAAATATTAGGATTTTGATATATATATTAGTATACATACGAAAATGGATGAAGCCTACAACTGTTATAAAAATATTTAAACTTTAGGAACTAGGTACTCTAATATAAGAAAATGACCATATTTAATATTGGGTCTGATTCAGAAACCATATAACTACTCTTAATTTTAATTTCAATTTCTTGTTGAATAAAACTTAAAATCTGTTATCTCTCTTTTGATTAACAGCTTTCAAAAGGCAACATGGATATTGCAAGCCATTATGTTTGTAATCCGTGTCCGTTGCATACTTTGGCTAAATGCAAGTAAATTGATTTCCAGAAAACAGGCGTTAAAAACCCATCATGTGCTAGGTGTCATAAGTTCGTGTTTTACAAGCGATTACTTGATACCAGGGAGAGTTCGTGATAAGATAGTGAACTTGGATACCAGGCAAATTTGATTAGTGAAAGACATAGATATATCGCCCGGTCACTTTTGAAGCCATCACGGGTCACTGTCCGCCTGTCTAAAGAGGCCATTAAGGAAGTGTGTGTATTTTTAGACATCTGGAATAAATTGCTGAATTTGAGATGCATGCTAAGTTCATAATTACAATGTAAAGAGTAAAAGAAACAGAGGCAGGCGAACTAGGAGAGACACAGCGTGAGAAGCACCAAGAGGATAGACCATTCATTTTCACAGACGGTAAGTAAAAGCTGCTTGATCCCACGGCATTTTTCGTTTGCCATCGGATCCCATCCATGTATTACACTTCCATTATGTGGTCAATATAATGTGAAATTATGTGCTGTGATACAAATCCATACTGAAATCAGTTTTGATTCACTCCTGCCGAGTTGCGTATTTCATATGATGCTGGGAAGCGTTGCAGTATCGCAATATTGAACAATTAGTCGTGTGCTACCTGTACGCAACAGCATGCTGGTGAGCTTAGGTTTAATTCTTTGTTTTTGCCAAATTTATGTATCTGAACCACCTGACTGCAAAATTTCGACAGCAAGTGATGGGATAAGGTTACGAAATGACTGCGTAAGGAATTATATGTCACTGAAACATTCTTTAAAATGTTATATCAAATTCTTTTCACGTTCCAAGTGCTTTTAAGGGCGGCATACATCGTATAATATGGACATAGCAAAGCCAGGCCATATTGGTAAGTTGGTTTAACGAGCGGTGACTGTCTGTAAACATGGTTGGTAGACGAATCTTATTTTTGTTTTTATTTGAACATGCACGTCTGATGTTTAAGTAGCAAAGTAACTTGGGGGGGGGGGGGGGTAAATCGATAGAGTATACCACCTACCAAACTAATGCCCGTTGCATTTTAATTTGAAAAAAAAAAGTGCAAAAATTCCCGTTTTCTCAAAATAGAGGTCAATCGCGTTCGCTAACCACCTTATAAATTTTGTCTCGCCTCGAAGAGAAACTAAATTAATGGTCTGCGCGGCCATGAACACTTGCACACGCTTTCTGCAGCTAATACACGCTTTAAAACGTACACCTAGAGGAATGCTCGCGCGTAACCGTCGCAGGTGTTAACACGGCTACTGCACATAATTAGGAGTCGTCACTTATGTGCTTCTATTAGAGAAACAGAGTCTAATAACAGAGAATGTCATAAAATATGATGACACAGGCCAAGGAGATAAATCAGTGTAAATTCGTCTCTCGGCACAGGGTGAGGCATATGTAGTTTTGTTTTCGCATTGATTCCCACTAAAACACTGCACTGTTCACATTCTGCAGGAAAGGAGAATCACAGCCACGGGCCGACATCTCGGTATCTAGGTAAGTGAAAACATGTACAACGGGCATACGTTTTTCCATACTGTGTGTGTGCGCGTGTGTGTATGCGCATGTGTATGGTATTTTTAAAGATTAACAGTATTGAAGGCATCACTCTTTGTAAGTGACCACTCTGAATAAAATGTAAAATTGTTATTACTATACGTATATGCATGAGCGTGCGTGTATGTGCGTGTGTGTTAGTGATTAATTTTTGACGATAACAGTCTTGTTGAAGAATGTGCGAGTGCCTTAGCCGTTGTTAGTGTCCTCGATGAATTATTTTTAATAAAACCATTGGCACGGCGATGACTTGGATGATGAGTGGCCTGTCATTCAATTAGTGGATGTAATGAGGTTCCGACCGGAATACACTGAGCTAGGATGACTGCTGTAAAGGGTAAGGTAATTTATAATAGGGTCCTGTACGGATCACTGAGCAACCAACTCTCTGCAATATTATGGCATCCTTGTGTAAAATTTGCCGATCGATACCTGCACTTTTAAGTCGATATGTCTGGATCCAGGTGGGTAACCCATCTGTGGTTTAACTTGTCACAATGTATGGACTTACTTTACCAAAAAATCGGTTATATTGCCAAATTCAAATCCAAATTTTTCTTCAATCAACAGCTTATATTGACAGATTATACTGACCCCCAATAATTCGATGTCTCTCAGAGCATATTCACCAGGAAATAAGGCTATCCAAACTTTAAAATCATTTATTTTTATAACATAACACAGTTGGTGAATCTTTAGATAAGAGTAAAATATTAAAGCCGCTGAAAGTAACGTTTTGTCTCAAAGGGATTTGTGTTCATTTGAAAGAGCACTTTGCATTAAGAATTCATTCGAAATCAACCACTGTGAATAATTCTAAAAAGCTTTCACAGAAGAGGAAAAAAAAGAAATAAAAACGTGTACGCACGAGAAAAACAAATCGACTCTCTTATTTCTCTGGATTTTTCCTCGTTACCCCATGAAAAAGTGTCAAATATGATAACTACATTGGCAATCAAACCCTCTGTGTATCAAGTGACAATCTAAGAAGCACCATGTGAGACCGAACAAATCTCGCCTGAGGATGCCACTTANACGAGAGGCTCAGCGTGAGAAGCACCAAGAGGATAGACCATTCATTTTCACAGACGGTAAGTAAAAGCTGCTTGATCCCACGGCATTTTTCGTTTGCTCTCGGATCCCATCCATGTCTTACACTTCCATTATGTGGTCAATATAATGTGAAATTATGTGCTGTGATACAAATCCATACTGAAATCAGTTTTGATTCACTCCTGCCGAGTTGCGTATTTCATATGATGCTGGGAAGCGTTGCAGTATCGCAATATTGAACAATTAATTATGTGCTACCTGTACGCAACAGCATGCTGGTGAGCTTAGGTTTAATTCTTTGTTTTTGCCAAATTTATGTATCTGAACCACCTGACTGCAAAATTTCGACAGCAAGTGATGGGATAAGGTTACGAAATGACTGCGTAAGGAATTATATGTCACTGAAACATTCTTTAAAATGTTATATCAAATTCTTTTCACGTTCCAAGTGCTTTTAAGGGCGGCATACATCGTTTAATATGGACATAGCAAAGCCAGGCCATATTGGTAAGTTGGTTTAACGAGCGGTGACTGTCTGTAAACATGGTTGGTAGACGAATCTTATTTTTGTTTTTATTTGAACATGCACGTCTGATGTTTAAGTAGCAAAGTAACTTGGGGGGGGGGGTAAATCGATAGAGTATACCACCTACCAAACTAATGCCCGTTGCATTTTAATTTGAAAAAAAAAGTGCAAAAATTCCCATTTTCTCAAAATAGAGGTCAATCGCGTTCGCTAACCACCTTATAAATTTTGTCTCGCCTCGAAGAGAAACTAAATTAATGGTCTGCGCGGCCATGAACACTTGCACACGCTTTCTGCAGCTAATACACGCTTTAAAACGTACACCTAGAGGAATGCTCGCGCGTAACCGTCGCAGGTGTTAACACGGCTACTAGACATAATTAGGAGTCGTCACTTATGTGCTTCTATTAGAGAAACAGAGTCTAATAACAGAGAATGTCATAAAATATGATGACACAGGCCAAGGAGATGAATCAGTGTAAATTCGTCTCTCGGCACAGGGTGAGGCATATGTAGTTTTGTTTTCGCATTGATTCCCACTAAAACACTGCACTGTTAACATTCTGCAGGAAAGGAGAATCACAGCCACGGACCGACATCTCGGTATCTAGGTAAGTGAAAACATGTACAACGGGCATACGTTTTTCCATACTGTGTGTGTGCGCGTGTGTGTATGCGCATCTGTATGGTATTTTTAAAGATTAACAGCATTGAAGGCATCACTCTTTGTAAGTGACCACTCTGAATAAAATGTAAAATTGTTATTACTATACGTATATGCATGAGCGTGCGTGTGTGTGCGTGTGTGTTAGTGATTAATTTTTGACGATAACAGTCTTGTTGAAGAATGTGCGAGTGCCTTAGCCGTTGTTAGTGTCCTCAATGAATTATTTTTAATAAAACCATTGGTACGGCGATGACTTGGATGATGAGTGGCCTGTCATTCAATTAGTGGATGTAATGAGGTTCCGACCGGAATACACTGAGCTAGGATGACTGCTGTAAAGGGTAAGGTAATTCATAATAGGGTCCTGTACGGATCACTGAGCAACCAACTCTCTGCAATATTATGGCATCCTTGTGTAAAATTTGCCGATCGATACCTTCACTTTTATGTCGATCTGTCTGGATCCAGGTGGGTATCCTATCTGTGGTTTAACTTGTCACAATGTATGGACTTACTTTACCAAAAAATCGGTTATATTGTCAAATTCAAATCCAAATTTTTCTTCAATCAACAGCTTATATTGACAGATAATACTGACCCCCAATAATTCGATGTCTCTCAGAGCATCTTCACCAGGAAATAAGGCTATCCAAACTTTAAAATCATTTATTTTTAAAACATAACACAGTTGGTGAATCTTTAGATAAGAGTAAAATATTAAAGCCGCTGAAAGTAACGTTTTGTCTCAAAGGGATTTGTGTTCATTTGAAAGAGCACTTTGCATTAAGAATTCATTCGAAATCAACCACTGTGAATAATTCTAAAAAGCTTTCACAGAAGAGAAAAAAAGAAATAAAAACGTGTACGCACGAGAAAAACAAATCGACTCTTTTATTTCTCTGGATTTTTCCTCGTTACCCCATGAAACATGTCAAATATGATAACTACATTGGCAATCAAACCCTCTGTGTATCAAGTGACAATCTAAGAAGCACCATGTGAGACCGAACAAATCTCGCCTGAGGATGCCACTTANATAAAAAATATTCCATATTAAGTGGTAACCCTGTACTTTCTTGCAATCAAGCTGGATGTATTTTGGTGCACTGAACGCAGGAAGCACGCTCAGCGGTACTTCCTTACTGCGCCAGTATAATCGTTTGGGGCTGGGAACTAAATGGCAGGGTCATATCCCATAGACAGCGGTGATCGCATTATAGTGGCATACATCATTTTCAACCGTCGAGGCCAGTGAACCCATTGAAACTTGCGAGACCTGAAATAGCGGTTTACCCAATCAATTATCAAAGAAATAAATGCAAAATCTCCAATTAGGAAAAAATACGCATTTCGCTGACAATACTGACAGTATAGCCTAAATTTATGATTCTGTCCAAGTTACAGCAGATGAATCAGAATTGCGTGAAGAGATGTATTAATTCTGTTTACAAGACAGTGAGGGATCCCCGACCCCAGAGACGCTGAAAAATAATGTCCTGGTGTTCCCTCATTAACCCTGAGTTGGAGAAGACACTGGGGACTCGCCATTCTACTGTCAGCATACCTATGTCGATTCAAGCACCTCGCACACTTGAACACTGGACAAGGCACGCTGATAGTAGAGAAGTGAGTGTCCGTGTCCTCTGAAATTCAAGATATCGTCCGTCACGGATATCATTCCACGCATTTGTGAAATAAAATCTTGTTTGCAGCTGTATTGTAAACTTTGATAAAACAACAACACAGGTGTGGATTGGAGGCATTTTTTTGTAAAAGATTCGAAACTACACTACGTTTCTACATCTATACTAATTAAAAATAATCAGAAGGTGTCGATAAGCCGACTTGCTAAACGGGTTGAACTTCAACCCAAAGAGATAAAATGATTTTGTAAGTTAATGTTAATATATTTAGATGTAACCTCTTAACTTATTAGATGTTACATGCAATCCTTTGAACAGTACATTACATATGTGCAAACAGTGTACCTTTTATTAATAGGAAAGGGAGATAAAGAAATCAACCATTAATCGGTAATTAAAAATGTAAGATATTATGCAGATAAATCAGGTTTATTATATTCAGACGGAGCATCATGAAAAGTTACGTGTCACGTGCAATTCTTTGTACAGTGCATCGTGAATACGCACACCTGTTATTGACAGAAAAGAGAGATAAAGAAGTCGTGATTTAAATGGTGATTAAAAATGTAAATTAGTTGTAGTACAATAGAGATGTGTCAGACTGGAGCTTAAGTTTTAAAGGTAGCAGTTCTAGTGCAAAGAGTTACTGAAATGAGCTTTCAAATTATAAGTTTTATTTAAAACCTTGTATTCTTATGTCATTGAAAACTGATCCCAATATACTTAAAGACAATCAAAGTTAATATGCATTTAAAAGTAAAAGTATAAATATTGTCAAAAAAAAAAGAGAAAAGTTTGATAAACGGACAATTGGTGGTCTCGTCCAAAAGATGTGTGGTTATCTGTATGGCCCAATATCAGGAAAGGTTTTCAGCATTAATAAATCCCATTTAATTGCCAATCATTCATAAGAATCAATTTTCACTTTTATAAGTGCAGGTTTGTGAAGAGTTCAATCGATGCTCTTTGTTTAGATTATTGACAATCTACATTACCATCATCACTGTTTGGTCGCTGTGACACATAGCACAGACGCTGAATAAATAGTGCGAAACAAAACAAACAAGCTGTTGTGCTGGTCACATACTTGATTTCAAAATAGGCAAAATGGTATGAAAATAATTTGGCTGTTACTTTTTCAGAGAGGACTCTTCGCTACGTAGTTCTTGACGTTCAAATCTGATTGCACAACTGCAAGTGGATTATTCGGTGAATGTTGCACGAACAAAATTTCTCCTTGTTTCAAAGCGAGACACTCAAAGCGAGCTAGATCTAGTACTAAGTCCAGGTGCCAGTTTCCTTTCATGTTGAATGACGTACTGCATCACCTTGCTGACGAGATACTATTGCACGGGAACTCTAATTGTATTCAAAGAATGTCAATCGATGTGACTGTCAAAGGCAACAAGAAAACAATCGTTGGCATTTAGGGGCAGTTAGTATCGAAGAACGGAACTTAAATCAATCGCGATCGCGGCCTGGCCATCGCAAGAATTTTTGTCGACGGACCAAAAACCATACTTCTATCACATAGTTGTGTACACGGAGCGGAAGCTGTTGCACAAACTGCTTGTACTACAGTGAAAATTTGGTCAGTAACTTAGAATGAGCTTAAAGGTCACGGGTACTCCAGATGGGGAGGCTGGCGTCTATGGCGGGACCGTTCGATTGAACGTTGGGGGGTCAATCCATGAAGTCAGTTTGCACACTCTCCAGAATAAAGCGACAGGTCTACTAGCAGATAAGGAGGAACTGATGCGCTATTATCGGCCTGCAAAGGAAGACTATTTCTTCGACCGACACCCTGGTATATTTTGCGCTATTCTGAACTTTTACCGCACCGGCGAGCTGCATGTTCCACTGGACACGTGCGGACCGGCCATGAAGAACGAGCTGGAGTTCTGGGGAATAGACGAAAATGAAGTGGTGGAATGTTGCTGGGTGAACTACTCGAATTTTCAAGAACAAAAGGCTTCTCTGGCTAAGTTTGATTCCTTTTTAGGCAAAGACATGGAAGTTCAAGAAAATAGGAAGGCATCTAAATGGGAGACAACTAGAAGAAAAGTGTGGAACTACTTAGACAACCCTTCATCTAGCCTAGGCGCCAAGGTAAGTCTTTAAAAACAATGTAGAATTATAAATCCAAATCTACTTGTTTGAGTGGAACAGAACATTTTTGACCTATTCTCGCTATCGGTCACTAAGAACCGCCATAGGGCATCAAGATGGTGCCTTGATTTTGATTGTCTCCCAAGTCGTCCCTTTTCGTCTACATCACTCTTCATCGTTCTCCGAGAGGTTTTCAATGTAATTTTTCATAAGACTGGCAAAGTCTTGCGACCAGTGACCATCACAAGAGGCCTCATGTTGGCGTAACATGGTTCCATGAAGTCTCAAGTCACTCCCCGATGGGTCTCACAGGTCACGAGAGACCCTCTAGTTACAAGGCATGCTGGTTACGCAACTTTTGAGTTATGCTTCACTTGATGGCTTTACAGTGAGATTGATGTTTGGTTGCATTGCTATAGAAACCTTAAAACGACCACTCTCATTGGTATTATTGTTCTCGAGTTGATGTCATTGTTTTTGGCGTCACCAAAATCAAGTTTCTAGCGTTCAAGCAGGTGAAACCCAGCGCCACTGCTAGAAATCGAGTTGCTAGTACATGGAAATTCCTGTAAGACTTCTACTCGACCGTTGGCGATCGCTATGAGACCTACATGTACTTGCAAACCTACTGCAACGACTGGTAACATTTTTGAGAGCCCATCGAGAGTGAGATCCATTAGAGAGTGACTTGAGACTGATGAGACCTTGTTGCCCCATAACAAAACTACATGCGACCATCTTAACCATCTATGAGTCCATTTAGAACAGCGGACTAACAGATCCCCGGATCAAATATGGCCGACCCACTAGAATACTTGCTGCGTAATCCCCGCGGGGAATCTCTTCAGTGTCTAATCGGGAATTAAGCGGCAAGTTTTTCAGTCGGTTGCCATGTTTGATCCCCAGATCTGCTGGTCCACTGTTCTGAATGCGCAAGACTCCCGTGAGTGTATCTGACAGGTTTGCACATTCGCATACCTCCAGGCGACCCTTTTTTTATCCTGATTTCAAGTGTTTGAACTTCCGGTTAACTTACTAAAGAGAGGTCGTGACTTAATTTATGATTTTGATAAAAGTGCCATGTGTAATTCAATAATTTGAATGCAATGCAGTAAAGATTCAAAACTGAAGGACAGACTATTGAGATTTATTATTATTAGAATCTTACGTCACCTTTAAGTTGAAAAATTTTATCCATGATAAAATTCAAATTTTAGGAGGTTACCTTAGGGGTTAATGCATTAACTTACATGTAAACATTATTTTTCTTACCTATGGCAAGCGTTCTCACGTAATTTACATATCAAACTCTGTAATTTGGATTGATAGCTGCCACATTTTATTAGCTTATTCCCCATTTCTCATAAATCCTTCCTGTCCTTTCAGGTATATCTGAGCGTTTCCTTGTTCTTTGTCATTGTGTCGATACTCGTGTTTGCCATGGATACCCATGAGGCATTCCGCATCAAGCCAGGTGATCCAGAATGGGAGAATTTGCTTTCAATATTCCACGTTGATGACCAAACGTACCAGGAAATAATGTATGAATACAACGACCTCGCCAATAAAACCTCAGCAGCGAATGCAAACGAATCATATAGCCTTCTTCATCCGGCTATGGAAATAATAAACGTGATATGTGCATGCTTTTTCACATTTGAATTGGTGATGCGGTTTATATTTTGTCCACGAAAATGTCGTTTCTTTCTGGAACCACTGACTATTATCGATCTAATAGCTGTGGTGCCGTTTTACATAGAACTGATAATGAACATTTCTAACCCCAAAGAATTATTCACGCACTCTGTTCTGGACTTCATCCACATCCTTCAAATTGCCCGCGTTTTTCGTATCTTCCGATTGGCCAAGTCTTATGTTGGAATGAAAGTGATTCTGTACTCGCTGAAGGAGAGTCTTGCAGAGATAGCCCTCACACTCGTCATTCTCTGTATCAGCATGTTAATTTTTTCATCGCTGATGTTCTTTGCAGACAACATCAACAACCCTGCTTGCCAGTACCCGGATATTCCGACAACGCTCTGGTGGTCAATCATCACCTTGACCACTGTAGGTTACGGCGATTTCTATCCGACTTCAGGGCCTGGTTACGTCGTCGGTGCCATAGCAGCGTTCTGTGGCGTTCTTTTGCTGGCTCTGACAATCCCGATCATCGTCAGCAATTTCTTTCTGTATTATTCTCACTCTAGAGTGAGACCTAAGAAACATAAGAAGGACAAACTCGAAGAGTGCGATTCACGTCATGGCAGTGTTGAAACACTTTCAAGACAAACCCCACAAAATAACAATGGGCAAAGACCCAGTATAACCAAAGTAACTCCTTGCGAAAGCTAGGAAGTTTGCGTATATGAATCAGAAGGAAGCAAGGAATCTTTTATCTGTAAAGTTTTGGTTACTGAAGCTTTCAAACGTCGCTTATTTTACGAAAAACGTTCCCAACGCCAATTTGAACAAAACTACTGGTACGGCGAGAACATAACCCTATTGTGTCAGCGTGGTAATGAGGATACCCAAGTCATATTCAGTTGAATAAGACAAAGATATGACTTTTATTCCTATTAACTTAAAGAATAATGAGCAAGATGAAGCATGAACTGGTTTCCACAAGTAACAGCGCAAACACTACGCATAATACAGCTGGCATCTATATGTGTGTTGTAACATCGCTAACTTTTGAAATTGTCATATATGAGTGCATGACTGTCGCATTGAATGTTAATACAATGAAGATGACTTCCTAGCACTCTGGGATGATATTAATATTCATTAACACTAAACAGGTTTTGATTACTTTTCCGATAATCCTGTTATGCCATTGTTTTCATTTTGGTTCAATTAAGAAACACAATCAGACAGTTATTCTGGATCGGCTTTCATGTCTGCCCGTATGAAATCCATTGCCCTTTCTAGTCATTATGAGCCTCTCCATGCGCTGAAATGTTACAATCATGGTATATCTAGTTATGCCATATGTTGCTAACCGATCACAAAATTAAGAATATTTCAATACAGTATTTAAGTGTCTTTTAGAAGCATTCACATAAAATACTCATCTTTTATTTTACATTTATCATTTAATATACGTTGTGTCGCCTCCAAACGCGTTATCTGGAACTTTTGAATTTGGCTTTTCCGGACAGAAAGTCCTTATCATTTCATTTGTTATGAGACAGAGCATCTCTTTTAAAATTATCTCTACTTGAGTTCAAATTTTTAAACATGGCACATTTGAGTAATTTATATAGCAAAACTACCTTTATTTTATTTGCTCTAGGTTGTGTGAAAAGCATATTAGATCTTAAACTATTACTAAATAACTGCATCACTGATCTTTACATTACTGAAATACAAACCATGCCTTTTGTGGCCACTTTCTACTCTTTATTCAGACGCCCAATATCTTTTAAAAGTAAATCATTAAAACAATGAGCAAACAGAAACAAAACATTCAATTACACCAAAAATGATGAAGAATGGAATAACTGTAACGTCTGCCATGCATATGGCGAACGTGGCACAGGTACAGGTTTTTCAATAGCAAGCGTATAGTTGTGATCAAATAAAGAAAACAATTGTCATGATTGAGTGAACTGTGTAGAATATAATTTACTCAAATGTGCCCAGATTTATTAAAATGTAACTTTACTTTAATCGTTTCAATAAAATAAATTTTGTACTCACTATTTTGCAATTCAAGCGCACGTGCCTTTTGGAATGCAACCTTTCACCACCGCAAGCCCCCCACCCCCCCCCCCCATCTCCATGTTGTTAACTTTGCCTTTCGTAACGAGAGGTGGCATCTAATTCACAGCTGTCTTTTGTAATTATACATTTTTCATTTATCAGTCTAGTTCGCTCATCCCGAGGTGGTGATTTCCTATTCTATAACCATTAATGACCAGATTTGCTGTAACTGATAGCGCTATTTAGGAAATAAAGTACGAAATAAGTGAAAGAATAAGCGTAGATAATCACATTTGATGTGGTGCAATAAGGTTTACAATTAATGGATGATCACTTTGCTATACGGACCTCAACTGCAACAGCATAGTACGATTGGTTTCCAAGACAACAATGTCCAAGTACTATAAAATATGGGGATTGACTAAAATGTTCTAGCAGTGCTGTAGTCTTCAATACCGGCGTATCTGTTTAATTGGCAATCCGTGCTACAATAATATGGGTTACGTTAATATCCCCAAGGCCTGTCTTCAGAATAGTCGGACTACACTAGCCTAGGTCAATCCACGCCGTATATCCTTTGCTTTAAATTTTGACTGCAGTAGTCAGAACGCAGTCTGGTGTGATATACCATTCTTAGGCCTAACCCAATACTATAAAATATCTTCACAAAAAAGTAAAAAAAAGTACTTCAAAGTTGTTTTTTAAAGTAGAAAACAAATATTAATTATTGTTTTACAGATAATTGTTTTCCAGATCGCACATAAATTCTACTGAAATTTTTCATTGGATAAGCGGCAAACTCTTTAAAATTTGACTGGATTTCAATCTTCCCTGCAACATAGAGATTAAAAAAACCCTTAAAATGGGACAATATGGAAGATGCATGGTTGGAGTCTAAATCGATCTGTAATTTTATAAAGGAAATGGAGTACATGACTCGTCGGAAAATATAAAGGAAATGTTGCTTTAACAATGAATACATGATGCATGTGGTGTAATCAAAGCAGGGAAATAAACACTCAAAAGCAAATCTTGGTACGAAATATCATGCGATGCATTCTGTGATTGAAAACATGAAAACAGACCGGACAGCACGTGCACCAGGTGCACACCTTGACCGCGCTTTTTAAAACATTTTGTTAACAATATAGCAACTTTTAAAGGCACTCATAGCAATCTTTATTAAAATACGAATAGCACATGAAACCATTAATTTCTCCCATGTTACGTTTTATTTATTTGGCAGCTAAGGCTGTGCGTCAACATGAAGTTTATACCTCATAAAACAGCCAAAATTGTCAATGTAGCGGACAGGCCTATTAAAAAAAAGGCTTAGTAATTATCTTCTGGTCATGCAAAACCCTTGAGAATCTTTTGAAAGACGAAACGTGGAACTTTTCTTATCTTGTCAGTGCAAATGCATTAAAATACAAATTACTGAGTAAAATCGAAAATAAAACGATTGTTTTCCCGCTGAGGCCAGTGAACTTTTTAATATTCATTACACGAAAGAGGTCTTGCAGTGCGGCTGCCACTTTGATATCAAAAGTTTGCATGCATTGCATGTAGATCGGTTTGGAAGATAAGATGCATGCAATCGATGTCTCGTTCACTAAAACATTTTGGCTAATTGAGGGATTTTCATGACACGAGAGAAGATTAATGATGATTAAAGCAAAAACATAAAAAATTGCCCTTCCAAGCTCACACCTGGGAATCAAGGCAACTGAAAGCTCGAAGTCGTAGATTTTGAAAGCCTTATGTAAGAAATGTTATTATTTGTTGCACAAATCGAACAAAAACAAAATGCAGGGAGGGGGGTTATACAATGTAGTTGAGGGCTCGACTTTATAGTCATTAAAAGAAGAAAAAGTCGTAAAAAGAAAAAACAAAACAAAAAACAAATAAAGGAACGGGGTGGATTGCCTAGATATATCACACAGTTTCATTGTCTTGTTTCATTAATGTTCACAATTTCTTTCATCTAGTGCAACAGTGTGGATTTCTATCGATCGACAGTGTTTCTAAAAGCCAGGCTCTGATGCTCGAGTTATGCACTAAGTATCAGGTTCTTCAAAATTGCTGGAAGTTTTGTGCTACTATTTCCTTTACGGTTATGATTGCGATACTGTCTTTATGTATGTTTGCGTGTGCGCAATAAATAGATAAGTGACTCAAAAAACTTTGCATTAGACTTTAGACTTCAAATTTTGACAGGAATGTGGATTTTAATCAAAGAAATGACGTGAAGTCACATATTTAGAAATATACGTGATGGTGATGATGACCTTGTAATGATGTACCGGGTAAAAATGTCACGGAGAGAACGAGGGTGGGCAGTCTCACGTTAGGTCCTCTAATGATGACCAACCAACCGGTCAAGTGTCAAAAAGATGGACATGGCGAAGTCTGAATAATTGTTGGTGAGGAGTGTATTTAGCTGGAAGTAATAAGGTGTGCCAGTGTTCTGCATGGCTCCCCGTGAACAGCACACTTGATTTACGTCAATAACAGCGTCACTCTCATCTGTGTAAATTGTCACCAGTATCTTCCGCTCGTGACACTTCTTGGTCAAACCTACTGACACGAAAATATTGGTTTAAACTTCATCTGGACCTGGACTAGGATTTGATTGTCTAAACGATAGTCCCCATCTCGCGTGCTTTTTTTAATTCTCCAGGGTGTCAAGATGCATGTAGTTCCCAATCATCGATCAGCATCAATTAGCTTTTTTCCTGATTCTTTAATTGGTGTTTATTCGCCATTGACGCTGCTCTACACAGTCAGTCACGTTTGTCTAGGATAAATCTCTAAAATACATACAAAAACAATACATCAATGCCACCATCACTATTAGCTGTAGTTTTTCTCCGTCACTCTAACAAAAAATAAATATTGTCTACAAAAACAATTGCTCGAGAGAACCATCGTATTTTTTAAATCTCATTTTCCTAAAAGATGCTTTCGTTTGTGCGATGACTTGGTATAAATGGGGCTATTCATCTCAACCCTCTCTCATTGCCTCTGCTCGGTAGTTCTTATAACATTAATCATATAATTTCTTGTTATTCCCACCTTTTCTCATGTACCATTAAGGATTTGCCACCCGCTAATCAAAAAGTTCTTCTGACTCTTATTCGCCATCTCACATCAGTGATTCTTTAAATACCTGTATGTCAAGAGGTTAGCTTTTCGTGATGCAGGTTTGTATTACCAATTATCTTCATATAATGTGGAAATAGCGGTTGAATCAGCTAGGAACGTCAGGCATCTGTTCAAACCACATCATGTATTGAATCGCAGCAGTTACGACAAGACTGGTTTAGCATTGGGTCGAATAATTGCAGTCACCTTCTAAACGTTACCATATTATTCACATCTTAGTGCATTTTCAAAATATTTCTTTATTGTGGTGCGCGGTTTGTTACCCACCTCTCCTACTTTGTTACTTTGTTCCACCCGTTTTTGTGTTCTCGTGCTGAATTGAAGCTGTACAGATGCTACATTATAATTATTGGTTTCATCGATTTTTCGTCACATCTATTATAATTATCCAATATGTGCATTTTTTTCTATTAATTTATATTAATAAGCTTTATGGGTACACTAAAAATATTATTTAACTTTATTAGGCAAGGTTTGTGTTAAATTACCTGACAAATTGTACATTTTGTTACTTTAATTAATATTTTATTGATTAACCTTGCATAATTCTTAAGAACAAGATTTTCAGGATTCTTGAGAATACCCATCTTTTATAATAATAAATCAGCTTCGATTACACTAATAGAGTATTTTCATCGAAATACAAGCCTATTTTGCCATTTTCAACTTCAATGGGCGAAAAGAAGCAACTTCTCTCGTTCTAATTTTTTTCAATATCCCGAATTAGGAAATTGGTTTCGCTGCCACATGTTAAATTGTATTTGGGAAGTACAAACGGAGGGGGATAAACCCGGAGTCCGCCTCTTTTATGTACTTGCACAATTATCTGTACTCCAACTTTGTTCGTTTCCACAGTGCTGGGTGGCGTCTCGGTCTTCTCACCAGTACTTGGTGGGCTCAATCTTCTGATTCAACCGTCTGCATAAAAGAATGGATCATTAACACTTTTTTGCCTTCACTTCCTGAACAGCATTTTGTCAAAAAGCCATGTGGCGAATCTTAATCAATCAAAACGATGACGAGTGAACAAGTGCTGCGAAAAAGTGAAAATGGTTGCCTTAGAAATACCAGGGGAGTTCGACAAACTTTAGCCAAGACTCCATAGCATAGGCACGCCACGTGTCAGGTTTCTTCGACAACTGATTTACGAAATATATTACTTTTTTTAAAAAATTTGCTTCACTTGGAAACCAGCCGTCTAGGTTATATCAAATCCGTCAGAAAGCCAAGGTTGCACAATCAAACACCACAACACATATCAAGACGTTTTCCTTAATTTTATTCTACCTTTTAAGAGATCTGGTACCCCATATGAAAGAGAACATTTACTAAGACATCTGATCAGCGACAGACATGGCACCTGGGTTCAGTGCAAGTCATATGAAACAAATATGAAATTCATGTTAACAATAATAATTGTAAAAAATTCTTCTTGTCATAAAATATTTCAAAGGTGTTTCGTTTAACATAAGGGTTGTGTGTTCCAGCGACTCTCAATAGTCCAACGGAGGACAATCTATAAACTGGTAAGTTCACATATGACAAAATATTGTACTATAAAAATATATCGACACGTATTATGCGCCTCCTCTAAATATCAACTAAAAGCCACCTTGTATAACAAACGTGTAGAAATAAAAACTAAAGAAACGGACGGAGTACTAACAAGATCCAAAGACAAAAAAAATAAATAAATAAAATAAATAAATAAATAAAAACAAATACAGTAAATAGTCAAATGATCGACCTACACTTTTGCCAGTAAAATGAAGTGTTACGAAACTTGTTTAAATTGCATGACATTTGTTACTATAACAGTTTTAAACAAACAAAAGGTATCCATTTTCTTTCACCATATATACACTTCTATAGTATATTTGTTCTGCCCTCAGGAGGTCATAAATAAGATTCTCTGACTTCCACGGCTGACATTACTCAAAAGGTACATACATTTATTTTTGCATTATTAATCATGATGCACTGGTGTAACTTCAGCCTCTGATAGATTATTTGTACCTCAACAATCGTGATATGCTATGCCAAAACCATCAATGTCAGTAACCCACTCCAATCAAATGTACCTAAATCTTTTTCCAGGCCTACTCTGCCTTCCATGTATAGCAAATAGCATACACATCACCAAACAGTATCTGTTTACAGGTATATGATTCATATATCACAGTCTTAACAGTTCACAAAGGACGGAAAATTTCTATATACAAGACAGTTTCATGAAATAGAAGTACACCAGTCACTTCCTACATAATTTGCACAACAAAATACATGAAACAATGTACATTTATATATGCTGAAATATTAATTATCATGTTACACTTTTCTGGTTATTTTTTACTTGCTCAGCAAGCATACATCCTTGACTTTCACAATCTGTTGAAAGTGAAACCCTGGTTATTTATCTACTTCAGGCACCAGTATATCATAGCAGTTAAATCTGTATAGACTAGTTTATAGCATAAGTATTATATTGCAAACAAATCTATGCCGGTTAGTATTGCCATTCACACTAGTATATAATCAAAACAAATGACTATGCTCATAATGCTAAACACAAACTTTAAGGAAAGACTACCACCAAATAGCTGATAAAATTAATAATACCGTACCATGAAAACAATTCCTATATAGATTGTATATATATGTCCACTAGGGCATGTAATGGACCAGAGCACTGATTTTTTTTTCAAATCCCAAACAAAGCACTTCTGCTTGTTATAGTGTTCAAAAGAAAGATACAGTTCCATAACATAATTTAGTATAAAAAATTCTCCATGTTCTGTGTACTTTTTACTTTTTATTTTCTATTCCCTGGCCAAATCCATTAAACTCTTTTACCTTGATGAACAATTAAGGTAAGTACAAACCTTGTGAACCCAAAATAGAAGGGAAAATATTAATCCATTAGTACGTAGAGAGTGACAATATCATAGTACACTGTATAACCAACTATATGCTTTCAATCAATATCAGATAATGCTTGAGGGTTTAAGAATATTTGTCAACATTCTGTCTTGTAATTTCATGGAAACAGTGTCAACTTGGGATGTTTGCTAAATACAGCACTTTGTAAAATAACTAGTAACAAATGAACAGATGCTTGCTAGATAGCTTTTCACTGTATGAAATACACTGAAACAGCTGACTGAAAGCCATAATGATTGTGATCAATAAAACAAGGGGTTTGTTTTTGAAACAACAGGGAACACCTGCTCAGTGGGGTTTTAGAAATGACAGTCTAAACACAAAGGAACTATGGGACTTTAAATATGTAAACACACACATACATATACATATGTATATATATAAAATGCACAAACACACACAGAAAGGGCATCATCTTCATATTCTGTAAAATACAGTAAGACTAGTCTTAACTTGTCAATTTCTATGTACAGAGTATATATAGCAACCATCCCATCTTCCCAGCCATTTTACATCTTTTCCCATGGTTTGTATAACTTGAAGAGGAAGTACCCACTTTTCTCAGTTTGCTATGCAGGGCTAACCCCCAGCGGTCCCTAGTGTCTGTTCCCCATCATGGGGGGATGTGGAGGATGTATGGGTGGTGGGGGCATGCCTCGCCCATAACCCTGCTGCCTCTGACCTCCAACAGGAGGCGCCAGTGGGTATGGTGGCCCTGAATGTTGATTTGGATGACCATATTGACCCTGATGATAACCTTGACCTGGCCCATTGTGACCTTGACCTGGGCCATGATGACCTCCACGCATGCCAGGAGGAGCTGAACGTGGCATACCCTGTGGATGCATCTTAACAACCTCCATGGTCTGCATGGAAAGAAAAGTTGTACTTTTAATTATTACCACACTTGATGGGTTTCTGACATCTGACAAATGAAAAGGCAAAATATATGTGAAAATAGTTTCACTGGATCTCAGCAAAATGTATGCTTATATTCCTTAATTTCATTTTGAATGGTGACAGAATGGATAACAACTCCAACTGCTCCTTTACATACTGTTTCCATCTAGTTGCAATGCAAAGTGATATCAAAAATATGTCTATTTTGAAACATAAGCAAAAAAAGTACTAAATTTAATTATAAAATATATAATGAAATCAAAATTCAATATCCAAATATTTTTTAATTGAGAAAAAAGCATTGTACAAAAAAGCAATACCAGCTACCTGTCTCTGTCCCATGAGATGTCTGCCCTGGTCTCTAGCCAGTGGACCATGATAGTTAGGTGGGGGGTACCTTGAGTTTGGCCCATTTGGTACCACGGGAACACCTTTTTTCAAAGGCAGAAAAATATAATCGCTATATAATTGATATACCTACATGGATAGTTTGTAGTTATACAAAAGCACCATTTCTGATGAATTATTGAGTTTTTTCTTTTATTTCTGATAAATCACACATGCACCTCTATCAACCAAAAAACCTTTTTTCCAATACATTTAGCTCATCTCCAATAACAATATAAACCATTTTTCCTCGTTTACCTTGTTCATACATAGCCAGCTGTTGGCCACTGCTCTCACTGTCATCCAGGTCTAGTGCAGACAAATTCTCCTCACTCTCCATTCTCTGGAGCCTGGGTCCTTGGTGTACTGTGTGAAGAGGCTGCTGGCCGCCACCATTCCTGGCTGGAGGGGGGAGAGGGGCACCTGCAGGCCGCCCGTGGGGTGGGGCTGGGAGAGGAGAGTGAGGAGGCAGAGGAGCACCTGGGCGGGGTGGAGGCTGCTGCTGGTCATCAAACCACTGACCCTCTGGAGACATCCTGGAGTAGTCACATTGCACATGTCACCATATATATATATATATATATATATATATATATATATATATATATATATATATTATTCATACCACTTATATTACATTTAAAAGTCATTTTGTCAAACCCACCGTATTGTTTAAACATGAACAACATCCACTGAAATATAAGTGCATGAAAACTTGAAGGAACAGGTTGTTTCCTGCTGTTTATCTAGACATCTTTCAATTTACAATAATGCTTAATAAGATTACACAGATGCCGATCTTCTTAATTAAGTTTTCTCTGCATACTGTCTAATTGATGAAGTAGAATATGATGTCTTGATGATCTTAATGTTAATGTCACTTTTTGATAAATAGTAATTCTCCTAAGAGAAATTATAAAAACTCTGCATTTGAAAAAAAATTAAGGAAGCTCTATAATTTTAATGCTGGTGTAGCACTGATGAAAGTAGACAACACTTTATATAAGAGGCAACAGTTCTCAACCAACAAAATTTGCAGTTCATGGAATAAACAGGTTTTGTTTTATTCAAAAGGCATCTTCACCTATCTTGCAAGATATTCTGCTTGCAGCTTCAGCTAATATTTTACAGCCAATGATCCTTATAAACTTCAAATAAATGAAAGAAAAAAAAGCATCAAAATCAGTAAAAAAAAATATGCTGTATAGTATGGCTCAAGATTTTCAAATCTTACCTTTGGTCTTGGGGTGGTCCATTTTTCTGCATGTGCACCCCTGGGCCTCCCTTGGGAGGCTGTAGGCCTCCAGCTGGGGAAACTGGATGATGTTGTGGCAAAGGGGCCTGAATAGGGGCTGTGTATCCCCGGACAGGGGCCAATTCTGCACCACCTTGTTCCCCCTTCATATCTTTCCCTTTCTTCTTCTTTTTTGTTTTCTTATTCCCTTTGTTTGGGTCCTCCTGGCTCATGGGGGTTCCCAGGGGCATCAACTGTGGGGGTGGCACTGGCATCTTTCTGGGTTCAGGAACAGCTGGGCCTGGATACAGAACATTACGCTCTAGTCAGTCTCCATATTAGTCATATTAGATCATGGAAAACACTAATGAGTTTGCAGTGAACTTTTACAGTGAACACCATAACGCAGAATTCATTTTTTGTCAAAACTGAAGAATTTTAAGAAGCTATAAAATTATGAGGCTGGTACAGCATTGATGAAAATAGACAATACACATGAGAGGCATAAACAGTTCTCAACCAACACAATGTGCAGTCTACTATAGAATAAATAATTTTTATACACTGCAATGCAATGTTCACCCACCTTGTAAGTTATTCTGGTTTCCTGCCCGGACGTCTTTCAGTGGTGGTGGGTGTGAGATCTGGCCCACTGCCTGGGTTGGTACTGGAGGCACTGGTACTGGAGACAGAGCGGATCCCATCTAGGGACAAAATATGGTCTATTCAAAATTTGTCCTAACAACTTTCTCATGGCTACAGTCACACTAATTCTTTGTTTATAGGTTAATTTTTGATTTAGCCAGAGAAGTAGAAAAAAAACACTTTACATGCTAGTTTGAACTTTGTTGTTTGGATTAAAAAAATTGATTTGTTGATCTGTGCCATACCTCATTACATTCTGTTATCATATATTAAAGTCCTGTTAGGCCATTACCCCCCCAAATAATGTATACCATAATACCAAACAGACATTTCTAGCATTAACTGCTATATATTATTTTATTGAGATCACATTCATTTGATTTTGATAAATTTAAAATTAAACCGATTTTTAAATTCATCACTAAATAATAACAAATGCAAATAATTGAGTAAAATTACAATAAATAAATATAAATTAATTTAAAAATAAATGTATTAATCTATAAGATCAGTATCTTACTGGTGTAGGTATATGGTGTCTTGGTGGTGCTGTGGGTGGGGATGGCAGGTGTCTCTTCTGTGGGTGTGGTGTAGTTGGCCTCTCCCTCTGTTCTTCCTCCCCTTCACAGTCTGACACATCCATCCCACCTATACTGACAGAATGGTCCTCCTCATCTGCAACGAAATATATGATAATACACAGGATTGCACACCCACACACATTTGTTAGATACCTGTAAGTTGAATGACTCACAGTAATATGTATGCTCTCTTATATATCTGAACCAAATATTGCTAATGTGGTGAGTTCTGTACTGAATACTGGGTTTTTCATCTAACCATTTTTATTCTGTTCATCTTTAAATTGTGCTATGAAAAAAGTACAGTTAGGTTCTGTTTGTCTTTAATTTGTGTAATTAAGAAAATCTACAGCCATGGTCATTGTGCATTGTTCCAGAAGACATACCATCTGGTGCTTGCTCCTGGCCAGGCTGCTGTTTGCCTTCATTATTGTTCTCATCTTCCGTGGACTCCACGCTCTCCATTCTCATCATCTGACCTGTAGAGGTCTCCCCAACACCATTGTCCTGGTGACCAATGAATAAACAGTTCAGTTGAAAATATTGAATAATGACAATTATAGTTATAGCTATACAATATAAAACACTGTTAAATATTTTAATAAGAAAGACATGGAAAATACATGAAGTTCTCTCTCTTTTGGAATATTAGAATTGAAACTTCACAGCAGCACTAAGGCCCCATTCAGAATGAGAAGATCAGAGTGCTAACCAGTCCACGACTTAAATATGGCGGACCTACATGAAAGTAAAACCGCTTAATCCTGCAATGGTCTCTCCGCCTCTCACACGTCTCCCCACGCATCATCCCTGCAGGGGCACTGTAATTAAATATCTACTCCATTCCACCAGACGCGTGGAAAGGCATGTGAGAGGCGGAGAGACCATTACAGGATTAAACGGTCTTCCTTTCATGTAGGGCCCATCATATTTGAGCCTTGGACCAGTTGATACTCAGATCTCCTATTCTGAATGGCCCTTATGATGGATCTTTCAATTTTCTGCATCTGTATTAAGAGGTAAGAAGAGCTAACAGGGGTTAAAAGAGGTCAAGATCATGCAGAAAACCTGGCAATAGCCTTCAATCATCTGAGTGAAAAACTCCATAACAACTTTATGATATTGTTTTCCAACTTCTAGCAGTGTTTGCAGTATATCTGCTTCACATAGTTCTTTAAGCAGTTTCATGTGTCATTGTCATATCCAACAAACTTCTCTGAACAGTATCATATACATTGTATCCAACAAAAACCATGTTTGTAAGGAACTCTGTCCCTCTGACAGTGTGAAACAATAAACAAAACAATACAAAATTAGAAAAATCTATTTTCGGTATCTTGTGATCACGGTCTGTGCCCTGGATACCCCGCGGCGTACTTACTGGCAGTAGTATCTCTAAGCTGTGAAGTTCATCAGTTTAGTTGTGACGACTCAAGCATACAGACGCATAATATGGCTATTGGTAGTGCAAAACAAGTTGGAGTAACTTCCTACTGCGCATGCGTCAAGGTATCAGAATCTCCTCCGAGCGCAGCCGAGAATTAATTACAGCTTTGGAAGTAACTCGCTGGCGCTGCCAGTGATTACGCCGCGGGATATCCAGGGCACAGACCGTAATCACAAGATGCCGAAAATAGATTTTTAGATTTTTTAGAAAATAGATTTTCCATGTGAACGGAGCCTAAACCTCAAGGACTTCTTACCTGAGTAATTTCTTTGTCACTAGTATTAGGCTTCTCTGTCTCCCCCTGTGTGCTGTGACCAGAGTCCTGCTCCTCTGGAGCCACCATGTGACCCCAGTGCTGCTGCTTCACGTTTTGCTGTTTTGGTGTGGTTCCACTTTTAGGGTGGCTGGGAGGGTGGGGAGGAGCCACCTGGTGCTTATTTGTCAAGTTATTGTCTTTGTTTTCTTCGTCACTTTGATCATGCTATTAAAATATACGATGGAATGTGAGAAATAATACTCTGGTTTCGGAAGTTTATTTCGTTCACATGTGGTGTGGTTATAAAGACCCAAGTATTAAAACTTGCAAAAACTTTTGAATCCTCTGCCAGGGACATGAGGCCAATGTTTTACTACTTATTATAATATATGTAATATGTATTATAGACAAAATGTAGTCAAAATCAAAAGTGAAAATCACTATATGTAGTGTCAACTCCTGTTTTAGTATATCTCTCTTAACATGCTTACACAAACACATCACTTCTTCCCTTGAAACAGTGACATGTATTGTTTAAATTCTGTGGTATACACATAATATTATTCCAAACCCATGCTATAGAAGTGTTCTAGTTACCCTTACCTCAGGTGAGCTATTGCCTTGAATTTTCCTGTTCTGTTTGTCTCTCTGTCTCTGGTATGCAGACAATATCATCATGCTGTAGTTCAGGTGACGGGCCTTGGCGTAGTCCATGGCTGTTGCATTGCTCTTGTCACACTTCGACAGATCAACTGGTGTCAAAACAAGGGAAGGTTAAAATATACCTGTCTTTCATGCATTCTAATTTTACTTGATAGTCTTTCAAGCAGACGGTGCGTATACTGACTGAACATCACATGATTGCTAAACTATCAAATACTTGAAAAATACAAATACCCCTGAACAATATAATTGTATTAAATTGCTGTATGCCAGATCCTATATCAGCCCTCCTTTGTGTTTGTTGTTCTCTTTAAATAAAATATAGCTGAATACACATTTTCAAGCGCTGTCAACATGAAACAAGCCATGTTATCACTATAAAAAAGGTGTTTCATATTGAGGTCATATCACATAACTGGAACATTAGTGGATATTCCAGTCATGATCAGGCCAGCACTACACTACCTCCATGTTCCAGTAGAAAGTTAATGCACTCCCCGTGTCCCCCTATGGTGGCGAGGTGGAGGCTGGTTCTGCCCTGGTTATCCTCATCATAAATCACATCTTCCCCACCAATCTCCAGGACAGTCTTCATGGCTACCACAGAGCCTGCAGACAGGGGATTGGACATTTTCAATAGTATTAAGAGTAAATGCATTTGAATTTGATAAATTACTGTAAAACTTCTTACATAAACTAATATGAGAGATTGTATTAATTTTGACATTCTTTGTGAAATGGCACAGTGGCTTTGATATCAAGACTACATATCCCCAGCGGGTCAGGAATATTTATTGTTTCCTTACCCTGCTCTGCTGCAGTTAACATCACAGTTTTTCCTTCATCGTCCTTTATAGCTGCACTTTCTTGAGTCAAAAATGTCTGGAAATAAAATATGTATGACAGGCACAGTGTATAGGTCTATATATATCTATATTTCACATACCTTCATGAAACAGTATTTGTATGTGAGAGCTATTAATGTGTGCAAGTGCACTATATATCCCATGTACAGCTTATTGGATATTATACATTATCAGATAAGGTTGATAAAATAGCAAAATCTTCACAGCCACCTGTTGCACTACTTAGGCCATTATGATCCTAGATACACCTGTGGCAAGATAATCAAAACCTTTTGTATTTGTGTATACCTGTAGACACTCCAGAGGTTCAGTTTTCCTCACTGACCAATGCATCCATGTTTTGCCATGGTTATCTCTCTCCAGACCATCACCACTTGACCACTGGTCATCCACTGAAGTCAGCAGCTCAAAGTGCTGGATGTGGTCCATCCTACATGTCCACATACTGGGGGTCATGCCGTCTTTGTCCCTCACATTGATTGATACTTCATGTTCCAGCAGCAACTGAAAGAAAGACCAGCAGACAGATAGAATGCACATTCCATAATAAAAACTATGTTCATTACTTATATTATCATCACTGGAAATTATAATTCATGTAAATCAGTCTGGTGGCATAAAATATATTTATAAATCAGCTTGATATAAAAAAAATTAAAAAATCTCATGTTATAGGAACAGATATTCCACATTCCTCAGCAGGCTGGCTCACCTTTAAACAGTCCTGTTCAGGTACAGAGACAGCCCAATGTACAGGTGCCCTTCCCATACAGTCCCCTGTGGTCAGGTCAGCCTGGTGGTCAATAAGTATTCTCAGGGCCTCATGGTGACCATCACAACATGCTCTGTGGACAGCAGTGGAGCCATCTGAAAAACACATTTCAACTGTAACAGTGTGGTCATCTCATATAGACACAGGACACTGACTCTGTACTGCACCATTAAAATACAAATGGTTATTCCTGATATATATCAGCCACCTATCCCTTCTACTTTCAATGTGCGGTTACAAAAGTATTTACATTTCTTGTCACAGATGGTATATACGTATATACGACCATCTGTGACAAGAAAATGTAAATCTAACCAACTTTAAACAGCTATAAGGGACAAGTTATTTTTAAAAAAGTATGCTTGTTGCACACAACTTTCACATTCAATACTAAACATGAGCTTGCACTATTTTTAGGTACGTTTGCAAGATTAAAAGCACCCACACAAGAAGTTTGGAATATTAGAAATAGGTCCTCTGGACAACTTCTGCTGATTCTCTCAAGTTTGCTCACAGCTATTGAATACAAACTGTGGACTGCTCTATATTCACTCACCATATGCCACAGCATTGACATCAGCACCATTGTCTAGCAATATCTTCAAGGCCTCATTTTGCTTAAAGTGGACAGCATACATTACACATGTTCGCCCATGACTGTCTGTCTGGTCAATACAGCGTTTGTCTGAAACAAGATGAAAAAATGATGGTAATATAGTCAGTTGATCAAGTGCTTCAAAAGTGCTTCTGTAAAACAGTTATTCCTGACTCACCCTTTTTTCAATATAAAGAACTAACCAAATGTTAGATGTCCTAATTTGAAAAATGATAACAATTACCTGGCTGATCAAATATATATTGATTTATGTTAAAAGGTATATCCAAAGTGTTCTTCAAATCAAAAGGAATAACACAGTAAGCACCTTCAACCCATAGAGCTGGGAACCCCACATATGCCATGTGTTTTCATAAGCTCAAAGAGCCAACAACTGCATATATATGCAGTACAGAAAGGAGAAGACACCATGCATTGACATTTATGAAAAAAAAATCATGCTGTATATAGTACACATACAACAGCTATGCTGTACTGCCCTTCTTTGTGGATATCCAAAATCAATTGTGACTTAAATTGGTCTTTTTTCAGACATGTTGCTGATTATATATGTATTCAAATGGCAGACACAGGTCATTATTGCAATCTCAGAGTAACTGATGTGCTAGAAATGTTGGATAATTAGGAAACAGAGAGCAATATATTAGATTTTACTAGTAAAGAAAGGATAATGTTGCACCTGCCAGAAAACATATCAGTCTGTCAAACAAATGCAGATTTTGATTCAGTACATGTATCTGATAAGAACCCAGATGTAAATGTCAAGTTTGAAACTGGAGACAACATATATATTCATGGACAGACAACCAATAGAGCTAAATATATGCTTAGAATAATGTTGTTTAATCTCTATTTTATGTAGAGAGATCATATTACTAGTAATCACACAAAAATAAAATAAGTAGAGTTTATCTTCTCTGACTCCATCACAGTATCCAGGTTAACTGAAATCCTTGTTGCATGAAACAATTGTTTTTACTCAAAAGGAAGAAAAGATTGTTTTTTCAGTGTTTCCATTTAATTATGAAAAAAGATAATTTTAAAATCAAGTAGCATAGAAGAGAAAGAATTAAAGGTAAGATATCATAAGCCCACAAATTCTACTTTTTTCAAATAGATTTCCTATATGGATATGAAGTTTGAAATATCGATATTTCTTATCACTTCTTAAGAAGGTGCAATATATGAAAAATTTGGACTTACTAATGTGTTTAGTTGATATGGTCTACATGTTTGCATTAAATAAAAGCTTTTTTGCAAGATATAAATGACAGGTATGTCATAACTATTTTTATATTGGTATCCTAAGGTGTCATAAGTGTGAAAAAGTTGGCGCCTCCTTAATTAATTGTAATGATTTAATTTAAAGGCTCCATAGGTCCTTTCTAGATCAAGTGCATTTTTGGGTTTAAAACAGCACCAACGTATGGATTTTACAACTCCTCTTTCACACCTACACCACATACTTTGGCCTTGTGATGGCCCCTTAGATGCTTTCTATCTTTCTTTACTATTCATTATTTATTTAACAATTTTAATCCACAGAAAATGGGAAAGTACAGGGCATGAAGTTCTGCAAAGCAATGTGCAGTATGTAAATACTCTGTACCAACCTTTCCCTCTCTTATCAATGGATTACATTTACAGACAAAATCTATAAATAATTGGCTTTGTGGTTTGTGGTTAGCTGTAACATTTACGATAATTCTATGATTCTGGTGTGCTATTTACTATAGAGTTAACACCTAAAAGGTAACAAAAGTGAAGTCATAGCAAAACAAATGAACATCAGCCTGGGTTTAACAATTTTTAGTTCTTGGAATATAAGTGAAAATTTGCACCCATATTCTGCTTCATAGTCTACAGCAATGTAACAACCTGCACAATTAAATTTTGCTTTGGAATATTGCCAAGGGTTATAACAACAGCAATTACCAAACATCTACAAAGAACAGGTGCCTGACATGTGAAAAAGAAAATAAATAAAGTTAAATGTTGTAAGGTAAGGAATTCCGTATTTATATGGTGTTTGCAGTTGCTAGCTATTGTTGTTAATGGGCACAGAATGCATACGCCTATACAAACAAAATCTCCATTTGCATTTAGATTTATCGAGGAGCCCACAAAGGGTGCCTATTTGCTGGTATTGATCAAGGAACAGGTTAAGTCGAAATGGGGGCAAGGGCTGTGGTCCCAGCCTATACATTTTGTATCATTTATATCTATGGGACAAAAAAAAAAACACATGTAAAACTAAACATGTCCTTAATCTTTAACCACATAAAACATGTCCACTTTTGTTTTATGACCTTTTTATGGAGAAAATACTTAGATAACATTTACCTGTTACTTTAAAACTGATGAAAAGCTTTTCTGTTATCTGATTCAATGTAAAAGTAAATACATTAGCAGGACCCCAGAGAAATTCCAGATAAACACAAAAAATGACATATAAATATCATTGCAATGTGGCCCCTCTCTACTGCTTTTTAATATGCAACAACAATGATATCATATGTTTCAAGCTTATTCTGAATTACAATTGAAGCACAAAAAATTTGAAATGGGATAAGAACTACTTCTGTAAAAATTACCCATTACTGCCAATTTTCATATGTGACATGTATTTTGACCATATACTGATAAAAGCCTCAACTTAACATATAGCAAAATGGGAATATGGTGTGGCAAATGAGTATAACATGGTAGCAAGAAACAAAAGTTTAGATGCAGGTAAAAGGAACAACTCAAGTCATTTGCAGTGCCTATACATGTGATTAATAATGTATTACCAAGATTACATAAGGTTTGTTTTACATATCTGGAAACTCCAGAAGGTTTAATTTTTTCATAGCAGTGTGATTTAACATCGTTTCAGTCATAAATCAGCATGGTCTGTGATTTTTGGGCACCTATGGTCGCAACCAGAACAGATGATCCAGGAACTAACTGGTCCATGGATTAGAAATGGCTGACCCAACTTGAGAGTGATGTCGCTAATGCCCTAATGGTCTCCCTGCCTACCACATGTGCCAGCCTTGCTAGGGCTTAAAAATTTAACCTTGGATCTGAGATTTAATCCGTTTAATTGCTAGGCACCTGCAGGGCTGGTGCATGTTGTGGTCTAAAGCTGAGGCTAGAATTTGCCTTTTAGAGTTGTATTCAAGTGTCAATTTTGTGCTGATGTACTTTAGAATCAATGTTAAATTGCAGTTCTATGGAAAAACTTCAGGAGTTTATAGGTACCAAAACCAAAGCTTAAATCTGGGGAAAAAAACATCTTTAGGGTCCATTTTAACAGGACGATTTTGGCCATTTAGGTTGAACATTCTTGGTAATACATTCATCAATCTTGATATGATCAACTTCATAGCAGATCTGAAACGCAATCAGGATAAAATGATTTTGCACATATGTAATTTATTGTCAGGGAGTATGTTTCAGATGTAATAATATATCACTCTGCTAATGCTTGTCGCTGACGTTAACATTAGTAAATTAGCCCCTGTGACACCTAAAAAGAAGCTCCTGATCAATATTTCCAATTTAACTGCCAGATTATTATACCTCGGAGTATTGATCAGGCAGTAGAACTCCATGGTTTTTACCTTGGTAACTCAAAGGTTATGGATCAGATGGGTATTTTTCAAAATAAATCAATGCAAAAGAGCAAATTAAGTTGTATTTAAAGGAAAACAAGGTTTTCACATGTAAACACTGGTATAGCATAAAACAAAAAATTTTGACTGAATTGAATGAATCAAATTTGAATGAATCAAATCAGTAAGTCCAGAATTCATAAAAGGAAGACAGCTCACCCAGAAAGCATGACATTCTGACTGCTATTAACATGTTGTTAGCCATTATATTTCATATTCACATAATTCATATTACCACAATAACAGACTTTGCTTGAAAATAAAGGCATCACTTTTTTGGCAAAACAATTTTAAACAAGTAAAGGGAATATTGTCGAATTACTATCTTTTTCTTCCTTTGATTTATCTTAGCACAGCATAAAATGCAACTTATCGTCTACTTTGTAGCTACTTGGGAAGAAGCATTTTTGACTGCTGAATCTTTAATTTTTTTTTATTTCAAATCATTTTTGATCTGTAAATAATTCTGGTTCCCCGGGAACATGAAAAGCACTGTCATCTATTAAATATACTAAACAATTAATGGCCTATATAGTAGAATAAAAATTTCTTCGTCTTAATTTTTTTTTAGTTACACACATTCAAAACAAAATCGAAGTTTCTAAAGAGTAACTAGTGTCTTAAAGCATACAGTGTATATTAATTAGCATTGAGGTGATTCATATAATTATTTATGATTTTGCATGTACCTTGTTTATGGACAGTATTCAATTATTTATTGACAGATTATGCCAATTCTCATCCATTCTTTCTCTTGAATTATTCACTAGTGTACATAATTATCTGACTATGCCTCCCTGCTGGGTGTAAAATCAATTGAGCACATAAATAGTATATTGTTCTGTCCACAGAGGTACTCTACTATTCCAAAGATAAATCTTTACTTAGTTACAGAAATGTTGTATTCAATGTCAGATCAATAAAATAATTAGTGATCCTTAAATCAAGTTGAAAAATTTCATTAAATGATTTTTTTTAAAAAGGACCACTCTTCATATTTATTTTATTAACTGTACTGGTAGGTTTCATCTAAAAATGAAAAAAATTGTTCTAACATGTAAGCCTATATACTACCAGCAGTACATCATCCAATACCTTGCTTACCCTTTTCCAATAGCTGTTCAATTAACTCGATGTCTCCCTGCTTCGCTGCCTGAATAACCAAAGGAAGAGTAACCAGATCTCCCTCCAGCGGTAAACTCCCTGATACTTTAGGACTGTCGATATTTATCCAGCGCCAGTGAAATTTGTCGGGGACATCTCTGAATGGAGTCATAGGGCTCAGTCCCCGCATGGACATCCCCAGATTTTGTTCATTTTGATTATCTGTCCTTTCTCTTGACTGAGATCGCAACCTTAATGTTCGATAATACCTCTGCATATACAGCAAGGTCAAGTTGAGGGAATCCCTTAACTCTGCACACTCCACACCTTCACCAAGCTTAAGAAGAAATTCATTTATAAAAGCTGCTGCCTTCTGGAAATCTGAAAACAAACAGAATCAAAAATTAGCTTTTTTACAAAAAGAATTTTCTTTTGAAAAATGGTGAATGGTTAAAGGTAAGTTTTGATGGCAAGCTTCCCTTATCTAGACATTGTGATGCTGGTTGTTGATAATGGCACTGTTTCCACTTCCGTACACTGTAAACTAACACTTTATAGTACTCTTTTCAGGTCTATCCTCTTGTCAGTTAAGGATAAACCCTCAACATCTAAGAAATGTGACATCATTTCTAAATACATGCACATGTACTAGGTATGTATGTGAGAACTGTAGAGCACTAACAATTACAGAACATGTGTACATAGAGAAAACTTGATACCAACAAGCCACAAGGGTAAAAAGCTATAAAAACACAGACCAGGGCCCCGTAACTCGAAAGCATTATGCATTATAACCGAGCGCAAGATCGAGTCTCATTTCCAAAACCCCATATGAGTCGAGTATAGGGGAGATATGGAAATCGAGGTGCTTGAGCTCGGTTGCAATGCGCGATGCTTTCGAGTTACTGGGCCCTGACTTCAACCGCTATCACACACAGTAGTGTACGTATTGGTACATGTAGCACTAACAGACTCACTATAAGGCATAACATACATTATAAAGTTCCTCAGTGTTGACAATTGTTTAGTTCACAAGAATAATCCCCAGACTTTAAAAAGTAACAATTAAATGGAGTTGCTTGCTTGTGCACTCAACTCGATCGTTTTATGGCATTACTAGTACATGTAATTATATTACACGGTTTTAATCCAGAATGTGCATCACACAGATATTGTACATATAGGTAATAAACTACAGCTACCTAACAAGCTAACTCCAGAAGAAATCAAACTACTACTTAACTTTTTCCCTAGTGACAGTGACAATCCATTTATATGATGGAATGACCTCTTATTGTATTCACAGAATAAACCATATTTTGTCCGATTTGTCAGTCAATTCACAATGTTCAAACTATGTTAATCACTTATAGATGCAAATGCATGTACTTGGCAATCAGCAAGCATCACTCTAAAATACTTGAATTACTACTACATATATAAAGTAAACTACGTGAACCTGACACTAGCCACTCTCACTGTCTTAGAAGTTAGATCCACAGAACTCGCAGATATATACCATCACTTACCTTTTCTTTTAATAACCATGTTCCTATTACGTAGTTCAAACTGGAAACATTTTAAACATTATCTCTTGTTTTGTAATAAATCTTCCATGTCAAGCCAAAGAAACCCACAAATGAGGGTATCTATATGCTTGAAGTTGAAAGCGTAACTCCAGCCCCAGAGCACTTGCTCTTTGACTGTCTAGCCACATATCCCAGCATCCCTAATGACAACTGAAAGGGTGGAATGTTAGCAACCGTTAAAATCTTTTTATTTCTGTTTTTTCACCCGTAGTAAGAGAAAGGTGTAATAATTTACGAATTATTAAATACTTTAATAATTTGGAAGCCTATAATTTCAAACTAAATTTTAAAAATATAAATAAACTAGTTCGAAGGTGCAAGCTGGTCTTGTTGTGATTTCTTCATTAGCAGTTTCTGTATATTCATCCGCCTTCGTAACGACCGCCATTTTGACAAGGGTTGGTTTTATTCGTGTATTCTATCCGCCATCATCAAAGATTTACCAGCCCAAAGTCGGTAAAGAAAATAAGGAACAACATCAAACGTATCCAAAGTTATGGCGGATGCAGACAAATTAAATATAGACAGCATAATTGCACGACTTTTAGAAGGTAAGTCAAGAGAGGTATCTTGTTTACGTAGCGGCCATTATTCCGGATTTGAATCACCGGTGAAAATTTTGTAGCAACCATTTTCACAGCAAATTCAACGACTGTCTGGCGATGTGATACATGCCTTTTAGGTTTGCCATACAAACTTCACCTTGCTATCCACATTTTAAAACGAATATGGTTTGATTTAAAAAGAGTAACGCAAATATATAGTAACGAAATCATTGAAATGGTTCAATTTTTGTTACCATTGAAACAAGAGCGCGTTTATCTATTTTTGTTCTTTGTCTGAATGAATTATTCTTAAATATATGCTGTCTGCTTTTTGAAAACAAGATCTGGAATCGTGTACAACCATTTGAAAAATAACATTTCACAACTGTTGTCATGGTGCATCCACAGTGCGACTCGTACTAAAGCACAATAACAATGTCACCCTGATGTGTTCTCTTACACAAGCATGTTAATGATTGTAGTTTGCTGCCCCTCTTAAAGCTTTCATTCTGTTCATTTACTTGTAGGTTAAATAAATTGTCATGTAATTTTTGTTAATAAGGAAATTTCTAAAATGGTCTTTCTTTGAAGCCATTTGGTTAGATTAGATATTCAGCTCCTAAATTCATCACAAATCTTATTTTATTTCTAAAAGGATAAAACATACATAAGTCATCAGGTTTTCGTCAGTGACTTGGTTTGGTTGTTGTAGTTCTTTTTATGAAACAACACCAAGTAAATCCAGACCATCCAAACAGTTATTAAGACACAAACTATTTATCAGCTAATATCATCTACAACCAAACAAGACTTTATAAACCGCATCTCACTACCTAATCTCAAGTGGACTTTGCCACACTACCCAATTTACCTGGCTAAGATGTTATTTGGCGTGTTTTAGGTTGTTTTGTGCTTATGCCCAATGTGCCAACAGATAGTGCATCACTAAGATACTAGTACACTCAGCATATTGTAGATGATTCATACATGATAATATTCAGTTACACTAGGATTTATTCATGCAANATCCCACTCAGTTTTATATATGTTCAAGGTGACAAGGGTTAATGTGAGCTGTCAGGAGTTGGGGAGAGGGGGGGGGGGGGGTCAGTTTTACCTGTTTATGTCTCACAGCTATTTGGGAAGTGTGAAACTTTCATGTTGACAATGATTGTACACTTGTGACACACGGATGTTTACAATGACTGGCACTGATAAGTGTGGTAGATAATAGATAACCTAGGAACCTAATCAAGTTTGATAACTGCAGTAGTGCTTGAGTCAATTTCATCTGGTCATTTTTTAAAGCTTATATTAATGATAGTGTTGGCTTCAGGATTTTGTAAAATCTGCCTTTGGCAAATTGGCGGATGAGTTGTAAGACTGAAGGGAGTGGCCTGAAATCTTCCTTTGAAAAAAAAATGTATGCTTGATAGCCTATAGATAAGAAAGCATATGACTGTCACCTGCAACATGAGTTGCTTACTTTTGCAATAATAACATAACAAAGTTTTTGTTTGTTAAATCTCCAGGGCAGAGTACACCAGTCTTAGTAAAGTTTAAGCAACTGAAAAATGTTGTTTATTTGAAAAATAACCAAAATTCCTACGATAAATTGAAAACCAATGGGTTTTGCTTTTATTTATAGTAATACTTAATGAGACAAGCAAACATTTATTGTACATATGTAATGTTGTAATTTCAATTTCAGTTAAACATAGATATTTAATTTGTGTGGTGAGTGTTGCTTTGCTTGAGTGTGTTATTTCCACAGCAGTTCAACCTTGTGGTAATGAAGCAGACCAGTGCTGTGTGGAGTAATCCTGTTTCATTTGATTTCAGTCCGAGGATCCAGACCTGGCAAAAATGTTCAGCTTACGGAAAATGAAATCAGGGGCCTGTGCTTGAAATCCAGAGAAATTTTTCTCAGCCAGCCAATTCTCTTAGAGTTGGAAGCTCCACTAAAGATATGCGGTAAGTTGTTATTGCATCCATCTACTTGTGTTTTCAGTTCGAGGCTCCAGATCTGGCAAAAATGTTCAGCTGACAGAAAATGAAATCAGGGGCCTTTGCTTGAAATCCAGAGAAATATTTCTCAGCCAACCAATTCTGTTGGAGCTAGAAGCTCCAATAAAGATCTGTGGTAAGTTGTAGCATGTTTTTAAAACTGGTCTGGAACAAACAGGGGAGGTGACATTGTATAGTTTTGTGTCAAGGATATCAGAATTAAATCTGACATAGGTTTGACCTTTCAACACCAGTCAATACAGTTGTACTGCGTCAAAGATATAAATAATAAATTTGAAATGTCTCGGGTAAAAGGAAGAAAATCAAAAGAAAAGTAGTTCACCCTCCATGTTCCAATGAATCATTGGTGGCACCTGTCAGAGAATCTGGTGCAGCTGTGATAAACCAGGTGTATTGACATAGAAAATTGAAAGAAAGCAACCAGAGTTATTGAAACTATTTAGGGCAATGTTATATGTTGAAATTGTGATTGGAATTTGAATTTTCTCTGCATTCCTCTTGGCTTGACCATATCAAAATGAAATAATGTATCTTCGCATACTGTTTATTGTAGTCTATGCAATCCACAGTATCATTTGGAAATCTTTATTATTCTCCTGAGACAAATGCCCCAGCTAAGAGAACTTAAATGAATCAAAATTTAGATGCACCTTTGATCTGAGCTTTACAGAAACGCAGTAGATATGTCATTCTTGGCTGTGAGGTTAAGTTTGCAGTGCTTATCTAAGCATCAGGTTTCCATTTTATCTTCCTGTTAGAAAAACTGTAAGATCATTGCAAATAAATTTTAGCACTTTTCTAGGATGAAATAGTAAAAAGATAACCTGAAAGCATCCTTATTTTATGAAGATAGTTTTAAGTGTTACTTGCTGACATCAGACTGCTGGTAATTAATAAACATTACCATTGTTTTATGTCCTTCCAGGTGACATTCATGGCCAGTATTATGATCTCCTACGTTTGTTTGAATATGGTGGTTTCCCACCAGAGAGCAACTACTTATTCTTGGGAGACTATGTAGACAGAGGCAAACAGTCACTAGAGACGATATGTTTGCTCTTAGCTTATAAAATCAAGTATCCAGAGAATTTCTTTCTCTTACGAGGGAACCATGAGTGTGCAAGCATTAACAGAATATATGGTTTTTATGATGAATGTAAGTATGCACTAATCAGCATTAATAGTAACATCTACAAATTTCATTTAGGTGATGTTTTGATCTTTAATTTCATTAGAAAATTATAATAAGTATTATTATTATTATTACCTCCGCCAAGGAGGTTATGTTTTCACCCCTGTCTGTCTGTCTGTCTGTTTGTCATCAACATACCTCAAAAAGTTATGGACTGATTTTGATGAAATTTTCAGGGTAGGTGGGAAATGGGTTAACTTAGAAGTGATTAGGTTTTGGTGGTGATCCGGATCAATAATTATCAAAAACCGCTGCCTTGGCAGAGGTCTGCGCTCTCGGAGTGCTTTTCTAGTTACAGTATCATTTTTGAGCTATCTTTTCAGTTTTGCTTATTTTTCATGGCAAGGCAGCTTTTGTAACTGAGGTTTAATGTCTCCTTATTACTTATTCAGGTAAAAGGCGGTACAATATTAAGTTGTGGAAGACATTTACAGACTGCTTCAATTGTCTGCCCATTGCTGCAATCATTGATGAGAAAATATTCTGCTGCCATGGTGGTAAGGCTTTTTGTATACACTTGTTTTGGATTGAAAAGAACTGATATATTAAATTTTTTTTTTAGAAAGATGAGTTGTGGCCTGTTTAAGGGTGTCATATAACCTGTACCAAGAAATAATATTATATGTTATACTTGGCTGGCAGAGTCTATTTAAAGTAAGAGTCTATTAAAAAAATTTGACAGAAATTAATGAAGCAGTCAGAAAAGGACCACTTGTGTTAACTGTAAAGTGGATTTTCACGTCAGGTTTAAGTCCAGATCTGCAATCCATGGAACAGATCCGCCGTATCATGCGGCCCACAGATGTGCCAGACCAGGGGTTGCTGTGTGATCTGCTCTGGTCAGACCCAGACAAGGAGACAATGGGCTGGGGAGAGAACGACAGAGGAGTTTCCTTCACATTTGGAGCAGAAGTGGTTGCCAAATTTCTTCACAAACATGATTTGGATTTGATATGTAGGGCGCATCAGGTAATTCATTAGCCATTGGAATTTGTAATTTTGTGCCTTAAGATTGGATTAAAGATAAAATTGTTTGACATTTTATATTGTTTTAAATTTCACACTGATAAACCAAGTTTATGTAATGAGAAATAGCATTTGACATAAAAGGGCAAACTATTTTTATTTTAGGTTGTGGAAGATGGATATGAATTCTTTGCAAAGAGGCAGCTAGTCACATTATTTTCTGCCCCAAACTATTGCGGGGAATTCGATAACGCTGGTGCTATGATGAGTGTGGATGAGACACTTATGTGTTCGTTTCAGGTGAGAAAATATTTATAAACAAGCTTATCTGTAAATGGAATATTTTTTGCATGAAACTGCAGAAAAAAAGCTTTTTCCTTTACATGCTTTCAGACTTGGCTTTGTATTGCACATATTTTCATTTCCCCCCAAAATATAAGGTAAAATGATACATCAACTTTGAACATTATACTGCAGCTTGTTGTCAAAGTATTTCATTTTGTGCTGTAAATGCATGTGTATTATAAGCCTTTGGGATTCTAATCATGTTTAGTGTGATTGATTGCAATCATATATTGTATCATATTATATGTGTCTAATTGCAAAAAAAAAACGTAACAAATTGTACGTTTTGTGTGCATTTTACCCAGTT